TTCCTCAATGACGGACTATAATCTATAAATCAAATAAACTCTATCGCCGAGTTGTTTTTGGTCACTGTTTTATCACAGCCAACAGAAATTCAACAGCTATCTAATTAGACGAAGGCTCATTCAGAAGGGAAATCATGCCTGGTACTAGAAACCTAGTCAAATACTTGGGACTACTGAAGTCAGGGATCTTAGAAGAGAACCCACTGTTGCTACTTTATTAAACCAGCACAGTTCCTAACTATATTCTGAAACTTGTGCTTATACCCACAGGTAAGTGTAGTTCTCACCCCTCATCAGAGTAGTTTCTCTTTACAGCAACTGGAAATATTATAGAAAAATCACAACCGAACTTAATGCAGAGATAATAAATTATAGGAAGCCCAGATCCCAAGGAGAAATCTTCAATATGACTGTACCAAAGGTTCAGAGAACAACGTGGGAGAGTAAGCTTTGGAGACTAGAATGTCTCCTAAAAGTGGCTACCTAAGGAATCCTGAACAATGGTAATTTTAATAGAGATAGTAATGCAGAAGGGCTGAAAAAAATCTCATGGAATCACAGTAACCCTAAATTTAAAACAAACAAACAAAAAACTCCTGCAGGTGGAGAGGGAGAGGAACATACACAGGGGTGGGATGGTGGAGGTGATGGTGAATGACAATTAGTCTCTCTCCAGGACCAGCCTCCGAACTGGTTATCCAATACAAGTGGTCAGTCCTGAAACTATACACACACAAACAAGATTGAACTTTAGCAGGTTGTATTTATACGTGTGCACCTATGTATTTATGAAATAATAATAAAGAGGCCACCAATTTTGGGGATGGAGTAGACATGGGAAGGGTTGGAGAAAAGGCAAAGAGGAAATGATAAAGCTATTTTTTTTTTTTTTGGTTTTTCGAGACAGGGTTTCTCTGTGGCTTTGGAGGCTGTCCAGGAACTCACTTGGTAGTCCAGGCTGGTCTCGAACTCACAGACATCCGCCTGCCTCTGCCTCCCGAGTGCTGGGATTAAAGGCGTGCGCCACCAATGCCCGGCTGATAAAGCTATTTTAATAAAAATACTAAAAATAAGAATTTGACAGGGGCTACTTCAAAGAAAACCTTGTCTGAAAATGAATTTTAACTTTGAGGATTAGTCACTATTTGAGGTTTGGTATTATGACATGCAGCATGTTAAATAACGTTTTATGTCAGCCATACTGTCTGAGGAACAGTGCTTCCCAGGCTGCAAAGATCTATCCCCACAGAGTCTGACATTTTGTGCTGACTTCAGCAGAGCTCTTTCACCTGTAATTCCATTGTTCATTAGTTGATATTATTCATGTAAAACAATTCACTCACTACAACATTCCAAAAAAATATAAAAAATAGAACACAGAAACACAAAATTGCTTGTAAATTTTCCAATAGTTCATTTCCTTTCTTAGATGATTGTATTACTTAGACTACAAGACAATAAATTTTGTAGGTGCTAATTTAAATAACAGCAGTTAAATTTATAACCTAGGTATTACAGACAGAACTGTTATCAAACTGTCATCAACGTAAACTTTCACCCACATCACATGGAATCTGTAACATAGGCTGAAGGCAATTCATTGACTTACATCTGAAATTGGCAGAGATTCAAAGACAAAAACTGAAAAAGACGGCAATCCTTTAAAAGTAAATACAAGAACTCATGGTTCTAAGAAAGTCAGGGGCTTCTTAAGATGGGAAAGCATGTTGTACCTGGCAGAACTCCATCTGCATGGAGCTTATTAGACCAGAGCGCCCCTGAAGCTGCATTCTGACTCTCATGGGTGGATGCATATGCCATCTAAACCACACTTGGCCAAAGCAAAACCAGATGGTTTTTAAGTAGATACACATCTAGGACACAAGGAACTCCTGTTAACAGTTGGCCCAAGAGCTTTACCAAGCTTACCTCAGGCTTTAGATGCAGGTAGAAACACTCCCCAACCTTTTCCCTTCTTCATTTGGAGGCTGACTTTTATCTCAGTCTCTCGTGGCTCCCTCTTATTTCTTTTGTGGGTATCCTTTATTAAAATCCTTAAACATTTAATTTTATCTTGGCATCTGCTTTTTAAAGATCACAGATTAACCCATAAATATAGAAGGATTCGTTCCAAATATATGTAGTTTTGTTGAATTCTAGATTAGAAAATGACCATAGACACAGGAAGGTACTCTTGGTTTTATCTTTTATAGTTAAGACCCAACATCAGAACCACCTCTAGAGGATAACACTCAAGTAGAAGCCACTCACTATACAGTTAGCAACTTTGATATGACTGTAAATTACTTGATATGGTTTCTCTAATTCAACACAATTGTACTGACCTCTTGGAAGCTGTGAAAACTGAATGAGCATCATTAGTAGATTAGTGCCCAATGTATCATTTGTAACAACAACAAAAGCCATTGTTCTTATTATCACTGGAGAAAAGCTTGGCAAGAGATCTAGGACAGAAAATACACATCTAACTGAAAAACAAAGGCAAAAACAAAAACCCAGAAAAGATTGGCTGGAGAAATGATCAAATCTGTTCATTTAGCTAATAAGATTACATCATTTGCTTCAAGTTTTTCTATTTTAAGATGTTACTAATTATGCTTTGTATTTCTAGTGCCCTATGTATCACTCTTAATACTTCAGTGAATTAACATTATTCCACTTTGGAAATAGGAAGGAAGGAAGGAAAGGGAGGGAAGGAGGGAAAGGAAGGAGAGAGAAAAGCTACTTTTCACTACTACATTTGATCCCTCAATAGTAATAACAGAAACACATCAAAATTTTGCCAAGTGTTTTTTCATTATGTGACAGTGACTATTGCTACAGGAATTAATTACCAGGCTTGTATATAAAAGACAAACAGACATGTCAGAGATGAAGATGAAGTGATGATACTGTTGTACAAAGCCAGTTTGCTTAGTCCGGTAATCTTACCTTCTGAGCACTTGCTGCACTTTGCAGCTGTTTGGTTTCTAAACTCTTCGTAGATAGTATGTATGTATGGTCATGTATGGTCACTAAGTTCTTTTCTATTAGTGTATTAATTCAGTGATCAGTTACTAAGTTCACTGAGATTTCTTTGAGTCTTTGGAGCCTGAGTAAAATTATTGAAGCCCAAGTCTTCACTGTGTACGCTGGTTCTGGTGCAGCATCACCTCAGCACGTATGCAGACAGTTAACAATCCTATTCCACCCTCAGCCACCACTTCCTGCTTGTGTGGAAACTAGAAGTGCAAACTTAGGGTCTTCTCTGAACAAACTTTCAGCACTGGTCATGCATGGGAGCTCTAAAATACATGAGAGCTTTTCAAAGTTTTTATTCACTCATGCAGGGTCTTAGTTTTGTTTTTCCCATAATCTGACCTTTGTGCTAGAGCTGCTGTGGCTAATGATCTGCTTTTAAATGCTTTTGAATGCTTTATAGCCCTGAGGAAGTTCTAAGCAGGAAAACACCAATGTATGCTCCTGAGCCACTAGTTAGGTCAAAACACAGTTCTTTGAGAACAGAATCTATAAGCTTTCTTTAGTATCAAGAATGCAGGCTGCACATTCATGGTAGGGAGCTGGGGATGGTGGGCAGATGAATTAAATACTCTCTGACATTCTAGGAATTAAGCAGCTTCTTCCAGGTGATTAATCTCACTTTCTCAAGAGGCTAGATCCTAAATTTAGAAAAATTAAAACTTTAGATGTTTTGCATTAAAACTATCTTTGAGATTTCTGCTTGGAAAATGACATACTTCTCTGTTTTTTTTGTCAATAATAACAATTTACAGCAATCAATCAAAATTTATTACAATACAGCAAAACTTCAGATTCAGTAAATGTCACACTCCAATTTGGCTATGACAAAATAGTTTGCTTGGTGGTCTACATCAAATGGTAAATTTAAGATCAAGATACAAAAGTCAAGGTTTAGATGAGACTAAGAAAGGGATTAAATTAGATTTTAAAGATTGAATTCAGTAGTTTTCTTCCTTCCTTCCTTCCTTCCTTCCTTCCTTCCTTCCTTCCTTCCTTCCTTTTATTTCTTTCTTCGAGACTGTGAAGCTTTGGAGCCTGTTCTGGAACTCACTCTGTAGACCAGACTGGCCTCAAACCTGTCTCTGGCTCCCAAGTACTAGGATTAAAGGCCTGTATCCAATCTTTTACAAAGAAGAACAGACACGAAATAGCCTTGCCAGGTTACTCACTCCTTAACGGTCTGGAAAGTCAAAATTCCATTTTCCAATTTGAAGAACAGGACAGGACTTCCATTTTATTATGCTTAGCATGTCTTATTGGTCCAAGATACTAATAAGCTGGATCTTTCCTATAACTCTTTTCCTTAAATAGTAATCAACATATGGTAACTGTGACCTTTAACTTTACTGTCCTTAAAAACCAGGGAGACCTAGATTATAAAAACTGATGTTATGACAAGAGAAATCAGTTCAGAGTGATGGTTTGAAACTAATTTTTCTTGGCTGGTTTTTTAAGTATACATTAGGTCCATCAGCATAATTTAGAAAGAAAATGTACCTGAAAATCATTACTTGTTTCAATTTAGAAATTTATTTACACAGAATTATTAAAATGCAACTTCTTGGGGATAATGATTAATAGTAATACAAACTACCAAGTTTAATCTTAACTTTAAAGCCTTACATGTAATTCCATGTAATATTCATTCTAAAATTGGAGATTCTTAGAGTTCTTAAATATGTATGCCAACCTAAACATCTGGAGGAAGAGTAAAAAATAGCAATTTTTTTTTCTAATTGTTGCTTTGAGACAGGGTCTCATGTAACCCAGGCTGGCTTTGAAGTTTGTAAAACAGCATGCTTACAGATTTATACAAATGCCTTTACAAAACTTCAGCTTTAAGTAAATGTTTATGCAAAATGTTCCCTGACATATAGCCTTCATAAAAAATATCAAAGTTATCATCACTAACGCAGTAACTTAGATACAAGCCAATAAAACTGTTTTAAGTAGACACATTGAAAGGCAAAGGAGTCTTTATTTTTAACCTTTAGTCACCCTGGAATTACATTAGATATTTGAAATCTTTGATAGTGATATTAACATTTCACACAGACAGAAAAGTGAAACCTCTAATGAACTAGAATATACAGAATGGCTTCCAGATCACAATCGCTTTGGTAAGTTGCCTACTGAGTATGTACCAATTGCTTTATGCTGTCCAAAACTAACCAAAACAAACAAAAAAGCAAAGAAATCATGAGGCTATACAAAATGGCTTAGAAAAACAAGTTTTCTATTTATTTAAAAATAAGTTTATAGTTACTACATTGCAGGGACAGGAATTCTTACACATACATTCTAGTTTGTATAAAAAGATTCCAAGAATTATGCATCAAAACTAACATAGAAAGTGTCCACGTAACAGTAAAGAAAGGTCCAATCAATATGTACAAAAAGAAAGGGCCTGCTACCTTGGTGCAAGACTGCCGTTTATGACATGATACTCCAGGTCTAGAAGAAGTAAAACAAAAACATCGATAAAGCTAAATAATTTTTTAAAAACTCTGTCACTTATTACATACAACAGATTTGCTTGTGTTTAACATTGCTTTCTGTACAAAATAAACATAATTTTAATTTGAAATGTGTCAGTTACAACTTTAACCCTTTAGGTCAGTTGCTTTTTAAAAACTGAGCTATGTTCTACACATGTCTAAATACCCCGTGGAGGGATTTAGTAGTTTTCCTTAATAACTTTTTAAGACCTGTGTCTTCTTGCAGTTTCAATATGGTCTAAAAATGTAACATTGTATCTTATTTTTTAAATTATTATGATAAATGAACACCCACATCCTTGAAAGTAATCAGTATGTGTGTGCATTTGCCTTGTAAGTGCATGTACTATAATACAATCCTGAACCTACCTTCTTAGCTCTTTAAATGTAGAAACTCATCCATATACTACTATGTATTTGGTTTGTGCCATATAAGGTTAATTTCCTGATATTTTTATCTGCATTAAAAAAGTATTTCAGAACAGAAACAAACGAAAAAATCTATTTATAGCTGGGATAGTCTACTCACTGTAATGTGTGCAGGTTCACCTCCAGAGCGCTCACAGTGGCACTTACAGTCTTGTGACTCATCTGACCTCTTCCTGGAGTATTGTACATAGTTCAAAATGACTTTTCATTCGGAGCACTTTGATAAGTAATTAAAAGCAAAACAGTTTCTTAGTAAATGCATTAATTTTAGTTCAAGTCATCTAGAAATCAGGGGAACTAGGGAAAGTTTGAATTTTTTTTGATTGAAACAAAAGGTGTACTTTCCCCAATTTTAACGCAAGACAATTTATCACTGAATCAGCTACTATTGTTAGCAATATCTAGATGAATTGGGAATAATGTATTTTGGACAAAAGTAAAGCCTCAACCAATACTGTATTCCCTGTGTATAGAATGAACACTGATAATAGCCCTTTAATCATTACTCAAGTACCTTGGTCCTTTCAACCTATTCAAAATTAAATTCCAGGTGAACAAAATGTTAAAAATCAGTGTTTTCTTTAGATAGAAAGCTTAAAACCAGTTCCTTTCAACTTAACATTTAAAACAAATTTACAGATACCTATGGATGTATAAAATGGAATGTCGAAATTAAACAATAATGAATGAGATTAATCATGCAAATGCTGCTAACGTCACACAATGACCAAAATTTTATTTCAATACACTTGTGAAGGTATCTGAGTTAGTCTACAATGCTGTTAACAATTCTGTGGTGTAAAGGAATATTTGCTGTCCACGGTCTTACATAATTAATTTCCAAGTCAGACTGAATCCAGCCAATCACTTATCTCTGCCTGATGTGGCCTAATCACCGAACAAATGCTCCACAATTATTCTAATTGTAGTAAGACAGTTCTGTAGAAACCCACCAGTCTTTGGAGTTATAGTGAGGCAACGTAATAAAAACAATGGCAGTAAGACCCTTACTCTTCAGTTTATACTTATGCAGAAGACAAATTGCTCTAGAGAAAGCTATGAAAGGTGAAATTTTAAGAACCTATACATCTACTTCCAAAGGCTGGTAGATCGTAATTAGATGGAGTCTTTAAAGTAGCCTGTGATAATATTTATAAACACAGGTTTTGTGAAATCAGGATAGCATAAAAGAACGATATGGTTGAATATTAGAGAAATAATATAAACTGATTTTTGGAGTGTTGCTGCTGCTGTAAGCCCTAGTCTTGAAGTTGGTTTGCAGCTAAAGGTAACTTTGAACTCTGATGTTCATGCCTCCACCTCCCAAAGGCTGGGATTACAAACATGCACCACCAGATTTTTCAGCCTGAAAACTGATTTTTATATTCCATGCACATAACAAATTTTATTTCTGAAAGTTTTAGTAAACTTGATATTTTTCTTATTGCTTACTTAAGACAAGTGCCAACAATTCCTTCTGAGATCAGTACATACATGATGTCACCGTCTCAAAGAGATCTTTCCAAGTGGTAAAAACCCAAAACATGATGACTTAAATTTCTTAATTCAACTTTTGCAATCTACAGAAACTAAATTATAAAAATATAAAATCTGTATCTGGTATTAATATAGCTTAAGTGTTTCAGTTACAAATAATCTGATCCAAGTTTTTTTGCTTTACTAAGAAACCAGTGTCTGAGAAAGCGTCCAAACATAGTCATAAATATACAGTGTCTTTAAAACAGAAATAATGCATTTCTTTTCATAGGAAATATGGAAATACTTATTTCACTGCTCAGAAGTTGGAACTATCTGTGCACCATTCAAGAGGTCCTCCACACTAAGACTGTGTAAGCTTCCTTTTACTGAACCCTCCTTACAACTACTTCTTCCTTTATAAAAATGGACTTTAGTCTGTTTTTCTAATACAATGCAGATAACATCAGGAAATTACATTTTTCAAATAGATTCCCTTCAAAAGCAACTAATTAATGACTTAAATTTCCAACATACACACTTATCATTTTAAATGGTGAAATTGACTCATTTTTTCTAAGTAACACATCATCCATTTCTGCATTATGAAGATTTAACTACTTAACTTTAATTATATAGTCCAATATATTTGTTAGAAAAAAATAAATGTACAAAAAAACCTAAAAAATTTGAAATTATTTTTCCACTGTAAAATCACAGCAATCCAGTCAACATCTGGAAAATGGTTCACTTAGTTTCACTGGAGGGTTTCTGTACAAATATCATTACAAATGATCTAAAAAGCCCAAATGCATCACTTTTCATTCTTCTTCAAGACAGTTAAATGACAGTTAACATTTGTCCTTATCAGAAACAAGGAAATAATTATATAATCTAATTATATATTTTGCCAAGGTTCAATTAAAGGCTTTATTCTCTACGTCAGGATCATTCATGCTGATATATAATCTTCCCCATCATTCCTTTTTAAAAATGTAGTATCTGAAAATTTTGGTTACATTTTTGTACCATATCAATCCTCAGAAAATACTACATTCTTAAAACTAAAAAAAAAAAGTAATTTTAAACAATAGAAATGGCATTTATGTTGGTTTTCAAGGTATAAAATAACTAATGTACCATAAACAAATAAATAACTGCTTTCCTTTTCCATAGCAGTACATATAGTAATACATTCTCCTAAGTCATATAGTTATCATTTACAATAGACAACTTAATTTTACTAATGATGCAAAAAATAATAGAATACAAGGCACAATCATTAAATGGGTGTTTCTCTTTAGAGTGTATATTGAGATACCAGCGTGATAAGGATACCATAAAAAGTGCAGAAAAAACACAATGTGCAATGAGACCACTGTATAAAACATGATTGCATTAAAAAGTGATTTGGCCTATTTTTAACTTTTAATAGTTGAAAATAACCAATCTTTTCCTTAAAAATTAAACTATAAAGTATGACATTTTAAAATTATTTTATTCTACTACTAGCTAAAAAAAATCCAGAAAAAAGGAATTTATACCTGGGTAGTAGTACTTAAGTATGTGTTTGTATATATATTCAATCACACCCATTTATCAATATACACACGTACACAGACAGGGTTCTTTGCAAGTCATTTTAACCTATTGGATATGCCTGAAATTTAAAAATGACATTTATCCAGAAGAAGTAAACATCAAATCCCATACTTTTTTCCTGTATTTTCCTTGAATCCTTTAACCACTTAAACATTTTCTCTAAGATATCTCTGTCAAAGGACCCACCAGTGCATTATTTTCTTACTATTAGTACCAAAAAAAAGATACAACTCAGCATAATTCTGAAATAACTTGCTCTTTAGAATATATAGCTTCTCCAGTATTGAAAAGTGTATGCTGTCCTGACAGTCAACAGCAGGGTTTCCACTGCACTGATTCTCAGTCTTTGGCACAATAAACAGAGATAGAGTGACTGATAGAAGAATCAAGGTCTGAAAAATTAGACAGTCAAATGTTTTCCAATGTGGATATGTTTCCTTTGCATCATTACATTTTCTCCTAAGTTTGGCAGAAATGGAGTAAAACAAAAGCTTCCTCTAGATATTCTGCAGTTGAATACCCTACAACTAACACTTTTCAGGATAACAAATGGTGGGAACTTTAAAGTCATCTTTAGAGGAAACGTTTCTTAATGTACTGCTACTCTGGGTAACATTGACTTCTGTTATCAGTAAAAAGGTACCTTACTTGATCAAAAAATAATTCAATTTACCAGGAAACTTTCTATCACTAGGAATACTATGTTTCTTAATAGTGTAGTAGCAGAGCTGTCTCTTCCATAAATAAATCAGGAATTTCTAACAGGTCCTCAATTTCAAACAGTAAATGAAATGAATACGGAAATGAATAACCTATCTAAGGGCAATAAATAGCAAACATCTGAAATATATATGTATATAGATTTTCTTTTTCATTCAAAGACGTAAATTATTTTCTAATTTTTTTTTTGCCTTCTTTTTCCCTAAGTCAAATTGTAACATTCCCTAATCCATCATAGCAGCCAGGAAGCAGAAACCTTAGTTCTACTTACTCCTTAACTGTACCTGCTTCATAGATTTTGAAGTACATTATTTTGCTTCAAGTTACCAACCAATTAAATTAGCCTTTGCTTTTTCAGTCAACTTTCGGACCCGTCCTCTACTAGAAGTCCCAAAAGTCAAAGAGGTGTCTTCAAATAACAGTTGCCTCTGCTCTTCTTCTGAGTCATCCTCATTATAGAAAGCTGTCCTTCGACCTTGGTTTCTAGTTCTCATGTGAGGTTCAGAGCCTTTGAGTTCTTCAAACTCTTCTTCCTCGTCTATAGGACCATCTGTTTTTTTCCGGTTACTTCTCCTTAACACTTTAACATTTGTAGGGACTATGAGTTCTGAATCTAGGTTTTCCATTTTCATCTTCCTTTTGGGTTTTCTGCCTCCACGACTCTTTTTCTGTAACAAATCCTCCTTAACAGCATTAGTGTCAGAAAGAAAGTTGCATGTTGAAGAAGGAGCCACATCAGCCCTGATTGGAGGCATGTTATTTTGCTCAGAGTTTTCTTGCTTTGCACACTGCAGGTTCTTGGGCTTTCTACCTCTTTTCTTGTGTGTAACTTCACCACTGCTGGTGTTAGCTTCTGCCTTAGGCTTCCTCCCGGGCCCTCTCTTCACAAGTTTTGACGGCTGTCCTCCATGGCCATTTACTTGAATGGTTCCTGCTATAAGAACACTGCTCTTACAATCTCCTGAAAGGAAAAAACAGTACATTTAATGTGTTGTTTAGTCTGCCAACTAATTGGTAAGAACCCTAGAATACTTCTATGTAATGATATAATATTTAACAGCAATAAAAAAAAAACTCCTACTAAAAAAGAGAATTGATAAATTTCTGCAGCTATTACCTAGTCTTTTGACTTTTAAAAATTTATTAATTGTGAGTACTTGGATGATGATGATGATGTCTATGGGTGAGTGCCACATGAGTCACCATGCATCTGTGAAAGTCAGAAGGCAACTTTTGGGATGGAGTTCTCTCCCACTCTCACATGGGTTCTGAGGACAGAAATGAGGTTGCCAGACTTGCGGGTTAAGCACAGTTACCTGCTGGCCCATCTTATTGACCCCTGGGAAAAGATTCTCAAGACAAACAGACAGACTTAAGTACATATAAAAGACCCAAGTTAATGTTGTCACTAATAGCAAAGAGTAGAAATGCCCTGTCTACCTCCTTTATTTTATTATTTTATTTTTTGGTTTTTTCAAGACAGGGTTTCTCTGTGTTGTTTTGGAGGCTGTCCTGGAACTCGCTCTGTAGACTAGGATGGCCTCGAACTCACAGAGATCCACCTGCCTCTGCCTCCCGAGTGCTGGGATTAAAGGCATGCGCCATCAAAGCCCAGCTTGTCTACCTCCTTTATTACACATTCTAATGTTAAGATTTTTTGTTTGAATCGCATGATATGACCATCATATTCATTTGTAGTTTATCACAACAAAGTCTTTTACTGTTTAACCTACTAAACACAGGGTGTTTCTGTAGCAACAATTTCAAGAAGTCATGGAAAAATATTCTTAGCATACTGATTTTATGGCTTTAATAAATAAGCTTGTTAACTATTATTCTCTTCCTTTCAGTCATCTGATCAGTGAGAAGATTCAGACAATAAAGACTAGAAAAATTCTAGTTTTTATTTCATCTCCTATGACTGTGACCACAGGAACTTGTCTATCAGAAATGAGAGTCTGGAGTCTGAAGATCCTTCTGAATCTTCCTTCTTAATTTCTGTACCCAAGATAATTAGGAGTGTATCTGCTGCAGTAATTTTTATCAGTTAATCTCCATTAAAAACTGCCATGGCTTTGACATTCCTCACCTACTCTCACCTGCAAATATATAAATAAGTTATACTTGGTTACTTGTATAAAGAGGATTAAGCAACAACAAGAACAACCGAAGGCTGGAAAGGTGATTACTTAGGTTTGGATCTCCAGAAACCACCAAAAAGCCAAGCATTGTGACATACATATGTTAACTTCAATCGCTGGGGTTATAGAGCTGAGGGGGCCACAGACCTCAACGGCCAACCAAACTAGCCAACTGGGGAAATCCAGGCACAGAGGTCTAAAAGGCAACTGATGAGAAAGATGTAACATCAACTGCTGACTTCCATATGCATACACATGTGTGCACACCTACACATTCACTATAAAAAAATTGAATAGTTCTTTTTCCTTTTTACATGCTATTCAAATAGTCTATCTCTTCATGTAATTGAATGGCAAATGATAATTTGTAATCATAATATGACACTGAATAAATTCTGTAAAGTGAATAAATTCTGTAAAGTGAATCACTATTATCTTGACTAAAAATCTTACTGCTAACTAATTCCATGATAAAAAGTTAAGAAATTCAACAAGTCAGAGCAGGGAGTAAATAGGAAAAACAACTAAAACCCTGCAAGCCTCCCATAAATGATTTTCTTTAGATCAGCTGTTTTAAACTGTGAGGTCAAGGTGTAGTAGATAAATGTGGAAACGAAGGATTTTCTACAACGCAAACTACCTGAGGCTTGTGTGCTTTTTTTTTGCTTCACATGAAAGCATACTGCTGATAAAGGCTCTAAACTAAAAGACGTAAGCAGAGGAACTAGACCACTCAAAAAACATGAATTAACACATATTGTTTGTTTGCTTTTTTTTTTTTTTTTTGAGGTACTGTGAAAAGATCTGACATGGAAATTACGTAAGTAAAGATAGGAGGACTGAGGAGAGGTTGGGGGCAGGTTAGTCCAAGCTAAGGATATATGAAAAAGCATTATGGAAATCTACTATTTTGAAAGCCAATTTTAAAATCCTATTTAAAAAAGAATTTGAATAGAAGAACCTTGCATGGTGGTTACTGCTACTCCCAGAAGATGTAAGCTATTAAATAAAAATCTCAGTGTCTGGCTCAGGACATCTCTCTCTGACTTATTGGTAAGGGAGCCCCCTAGCAGCATCCTAATCAACACAAGCTATTTCCATTGATCTTAACTACTCATCACAATTAGACAGTAAGACCCTACTGATGAAGCCATTCCTCACTTTGGGTACAGGGAAAAAAAATCTCAATTGATCCCCAAACACTCTCCCTGCTAACAATTCTTACACAAGGCCAGAAGATGCTATGTAGGCTGCAGGTGAGAAATGACAACAATGGTTTCATCCAGAGCTGGAGCCTCTATGTGTAATACCGAGCTGCCAGTAACACATGTCCACTGGTGCAATAATGCTATGTTGTTTAAGGGATGACCAACCATTTCTAACTGGATCTGAGGCCTGTTCCAAAGGCAGAATTTCATGCTTGATACTATAAACCTTCATCAGAAAGCCCATGACTTAGGAGAGTGAACAGATGAACAGGCTGTTGTTTTGTTGTTTTTGTTCTAAATGGTCATATTATTAAATAGCCTTCTATTAAATATTTAAGTTTATACCCATAGATTTGTGTTGCTAAAAACTTTGGTTGGAGAAGCTGTTTTCTTCAGTGGGTAGTGCTTAATGCTTAGACTTCTATCTAGTCAAAGTGCAAAGTATAATTGAGTGTTCAGCTATGAATGGGAGGAGAATGGTGAAATGCTGACTAATGTACATAACATGGCTGTTGTATGCATTAACTCATAGCGGCTGTGGTGATCAGCATAAGACAAAGCCAGTCAAAATTTCAGCAGGTAGGGGCCCCTGAGGCTCCATGCTTGGCAGAATAGTTAATGGAAGTTAAGGACTGATGGGGCAAGAGTAATCACTTCCTTTGGAGATGTGACTGCTAGTATATTGTCCATGTCTTAGTAGGTGGCCCTCAAAACATATGAATAACGATAGTATTAACTGGACTTGGGATATTAGGAGAATATGGAGTTTGGAGGGAAACAGGTAGAGCAATAGTGGGAGTTTGTAAGGGAAGTAAGTGCTATGATCAAAATACTTAAACATGAAATTTTCAGAAATAAAAAAAATTAGGAATGCAAAACTGTCATGATCAAAGTCATTTGGTCATTAAAACACATCCAACATGTGGCAAGTCAGGTGACTATCTTTCAAAGGACCTAGGGTTTGATTCCCAGCGTCCACAATGCTGTACACAACTATTTTTTTTGTGTGTGTGGTTTTTCAAGACAGGGTTTCTCTGTGGCTTTGGAGGCTGTCCTGGAAGTAGCTCTTGTAGACCAGGCTGGCTTCGAACTCACAGAGATCCGCCTGCCTCTGCCTCCCAAGTGCTGGGATTAAAGGCGTGCGCCACCAACGCCCGGCACACAATTATTTCTAACAACAGTTCCATGGGATTGACCCCTTCTTCTAGCCTTCATTGTCACTGTATGCATGTGTTTAAGATATACACGCAGGTAAAACACCCATATACATAAAAGGAAAAGTTTAAGGATTCCTGGAGATTATATTACATGAGTTAAAAGATAATAACAAATTGGGGAGGGGGGGGAATCATCCAAAGGAGGAAGGATGGAAGGATGAGGGTAAAGCAGTTCAAAGAACTAAGTGGGAGAATGACAGGAAGGAGAGGGTAGGGACTGAGTAAAATGGAGCAACAGTTAGGGAATTGAATGAACACAAGCCTTGAATTATATTCATGGAAGTGAGAATGTTTTCAAGAATTGAAGTGTTTGAAGAGATTTGGATGCTAGGCTGACACCCAAATTTCAGTCTTTGCAGGTGAATAGAATATGTTTTTAAAATGAAATAAAGCCATTTAGCCACAAAATGAGTGAAGTTTCTGGCGAGAATATTAGGGAAAAAATGTCTAAGGTACATTTTTGGAAGTTATGATACAAAAATGCTCATTAGTGGGCTATCCTGGTCATGTGGTAATGAAGCCATTCTTCTAACTAATAATATGGTGTATTTTATTAGTTGCATTCTCCCATCTTCCAAACATAAAGACTTCAACAACAACAAACCAACCCTGCACTTGAAAGGCTTTGCAATCCTAAGTGTAGGGTTTTTGATCTATGGCCTATTAGCAGTTTATATTTTTGTTCTAAGATCCAATTTGGAGGATGTCTTTGTTTAGGTTTTTAACAATAAAGCTAAAAACAAGTTTACAACATTTGAAGTCTTTACTTCTAAAATACATTTTTACTTCCATATAATGTTTTGTATCTTTAAATTTTTAACAACGTTTTGCTTTGATATAATGCTGCAAGTTACTGGATTTATCAGATTGCACACTGTAACTTTTAAATTGACACCCCAGAAAGCAAAAATAAAGGCCAATCCCTGTAAGACATTAATTGTAAGAAGGACCTACCATATACAAGTAGCATTTTTCTTTTTACTTTTTTGGAGGCAGGGTACTCATTACATTGGTTTGGCCTCACATCTGCGATCTTTCTGTCTTAGTCTCTTCACTGAACAGTCATGTAGTGTACCACCACACCCAGATATAAGTAACATTTTACCTTGATCAACCACAGCTGATGGTTTTGGAAGAGTGGAAGCTTTTGAGAGAACAGAAGACTTCATTTTACGTTTGACAGGCTTTTCCTTTTCCATGTTTTCTTTTGCAGAGTTATTCCTCGCACCATGGCCAAACGTGGGCTGATCCGGGCTTGAAAGCATATTCAAGGCTTTGGAATGTTTCACAGAATTCTCTAGCACTAAAACACATATATAAAAAGATTAGAAGCTAAGACTTGGTGAACTCAAACATAAGCAACAGCTCTAGGCATGCTTTAAACCTGAACTGCTTCAATTAGCCAAGAGGACAAAAATTGAGTGATACTTAAATCTTCTTCACAATATCTTTCTTTTCTGTTGTGCTGGTATATAACCCATGGTCCTATGCATACTAAAGAAGTCCAGTAATCTACCTTCTAGTGAGAAACAGTTATGAGAAAATTTTACAAGTGCAGCCAACTTCTAGATGCTTTCTCCCCAGTTTAAGATTATGAGATAAGTCTTGGCAAACTGCTAATGAGTCTAGGGTTTATATTTGGGCAGTCTCTATCAGTTTGCTTTTGTTTTGTTCTATGAAAATATCCCTAAGCCTCAGTTTTCTTTTTCTCAGTTAGCCAATTTTTCAAAAAGAGGAAAAACAACAAAGAAAGCAACATCAGGAGTTTCAGGTAATCACTAAAGCCCACAGAGAATCAAAAGCTTTTTAAAGAAAGAAAAATCACACCTTGTTGTAGAAATTGTGATTAAGTCTTACTTGTTTTCCCCGGCATGGCAGATGTACTAGTTTTTGAAATAAAAGCTTTTGTGGCTGATGAAGTGGATGGCTGCTCAGTGATAACCGGATCTACAGCCACACGGTTGCTCCTGGTTCGAACAACAGAATTGGATTCTGGTTTACCATTTATCTGAGCAGCATTATGCCTTGGCAGTACTGATCGGGTAGGTATAGAGAATGGAGAGGTAGATATTTCTGACTTCGGCTGGGGTTTTAAGATCTTTTTTTTCCTTTCAGGGCTGCAGATAAGATTAGACCACATTGTTAGTCACTCTTAACAATTCTCCACATGTTAAGAGCTGTATAATACTGCTGAATTCAACATTTGTGCTATCATGAAATATGTTAAAATATGAGATTTGTAGTGGATTTCATATGGTTGTGAGCCTTTGAAAAGTGAAAATTTAGTGAAGGATCATCATAAATGCTACAGTTATATGACAGAAAGCATGATGCCATCACTATCCTAGAAATACTGTTTTACTGTATAGATTTAGCAGTTTGAATTTAAGCACTTACACTAGTATAGCTTTAGTTTAAAAGATTAAAAATCCTCCACATCATAGGAACTTGCATGTCAAATATATCATTCTGCAATATAGGGAATAGTAAAGGAAGCATTAAAAACCACCAAGTTCTGCCATTTTGGATGACAAAGTCACAGATTAGCTAATGTCATCTAAAAGACACTATGTACCTTGATGCAGCACTGCTGGAAAGGGAGCTGCTTCTGTTTCGTTTCTTCCTCCTTTTGGTCATGGTATTTCTTTTATGAAAACGAAGAGCAGACTTATAATCAGACAAAACTGAGCTAATGTGTTCTTCAAAGAAAGCAGACAGGCGTAAACTCATGCTGTAAATCTACGGAGAGAAAAAACATCCATAAATATTCTTTTAAAAGAAAATTTCTATTTAGTAAACACCATAAGTTAAATATTTTCCTGGTAAAATATTCTGGAATTTAAATATTGCTGTTTGGTCTTCATTTTTTTCAGTCTCTTCTGATGCAAAGTAAATTAAAACAATTTTACAATTAAATTATTTTGAATTTAGGCATTTGAGATATTTAACAGAAAGGACTGTCAAGTTGGGAACGTGGCAAAATTTCTCATTGTAAACTACCCCAAAGGGTTGGAAACTCATTCATTCCCTTGCTATCATCAACTATCATCAATATGATATCTGTACTCTTGTACTACCTACTGTGTGAAGCTATGTTTTGAACAAAGGTAAGTGGCAGTTTGAATTTTTACATTCTCAATTGTTTATACTCAGCAGTATGGAACTAGGTAGAAAAGGTAAGCCCAGAAGGCTCCATTTAATAAGGCCTTTAAAAAGGCAACTATTTCAGAACAGATAATAATGTTTAAATGACATCAGTTTGAATCACAAAAAAGCACATTAGAAATCAGTTAAGTCACCATTAACATTAACAACATAAAAGCTAGTTCATTTTGCTCAAAGTTTTAAGTAAAAACATTTATTAGAGATTTGACATCCTTTGAACAAAACAAAATAATGTGATGATATACCCTTGATCTTTTGCTTGGTGTATATGCTTTAGAATTACTAAATATGAGCCTGACGTCTTTACATAACTCCATTGGTGACTCATAATTCCCAGCCTCTAAAGTTTCTCTGACAGTAGCAAAGTCCATTGGCGTGTCAATGATGTCTCTGTAGTCCTAAGAGAGAAGAAAACACTATTATTATTTCTATAAAAGTATCATTTTACAGTACAAGAATTCATAGGATTTCTTTAAATCACTGAAGTATTAATAATCATTTGTAAAAAACAAAACAGTACAACCTTAAATACTTCAGCCCACCTATAAATTTAATAAATGACAACTCCTTGTAACACTATCAAGTTATACAATAAAGAAATACAATCAAAGTGGGGTTAGATAGATGGCTCAGTGGATAAGATCACTTGCTGCTCTTGAAGAGGACCAGGGCTCAGTTTCCAGCACCCACATGGTGGCTCATGACCATCCTTTGAGTTCAGGGAATCAAATGCTCTCTTCTGAATTCTGCAAGCATCATCAGGCATACACATGGCACACATACATACATTCAGGCTAAATACTAACTCATAAAACAAAATTAAATCTACAACTCCCCAAAACATTCCATCTAAACAGAGGCTACAGTTACAATAACTTCCAGTTTCAGAATTTACCGAATTAGACATTTTTGAAAACAATAATAATAAATATAAATAAATGTCAAAAAGTGTGCACTCTTACATAAAGGAAAATAGAACTGTTGAAGTCACCTGGATACAAATAAGGCAACAAGATAGAACAAAGCAGAGAGCTAATTATCAGGGCAGTGTACGACTAGTAGTTTAGTATAGTACAGAGTCTACTGCACTTTTTCAAAAGCAGGGATTTTAGCTTTTGATCATTTTACCCTTGCCTCCTTTTACTTTTACTCTTTCTTTTCTATACTGGGAAGTGAACATACATTACTGATTTCAAGAGTTCTGATGTACTACAGTGTACAATTAGTTTTAAACTTCCCTACACTATTGTTTAAGTATATCCCACAAATTCTGATATTCCGTTTGTATTCATTTTCATTGAGGTCATGTTTTAATTACCACAGGCTTGTTTGACCGACTATGCACAAATATACTTGCTCAGCCTGATCTGGTAGTAGTTTATCTAATAAGTAAGCACTGTGAGGCAGAGGCAGAAGGACTATGAATTCCAGGCCAGTTCGATCTACTTCCTTGGAGATAATCCTGTTATTGATATCTACTCTGATTCCATTATGCTTAATGACTTCAATGGATATTAGTTTTTACTGTTTCTTCCACTTACTGATTTTTGTCTTTTACTTTTTCCCCAATTTTTCCATGTTCTACATGAAGAGACTTTATAATTTCATTTTCTATACCACAATAGTTTAACTTAGATTCTAAGCCCAGACTGATGATTGAGAGGCCAGCATGGGACTGGTGCAGACCCCCCCGCCTTTCCCCCACCCCGAACATGGGTGTCAAGTGAGGAGGCCTCGACAATCTATGGGACCTCGGATAGTAGATCAGTATTTATCCCTGGCACACAAATGGACTTTGGGATCCCATTCCACATCACGGGATGCTCTCTCAGCCTGGACACATGGGGGAAGGCCTAGGCCCTGCCCGGGATATGACAGACTTTGAAAATCCCCCATGGAAGATTAACCTCCCTGGGGAGCAGAGAAGGTATAGGGTGGGGAATTGGGGGGTGGAGGGGAGGAGGGGGGAGGGAGCTGGGAGTAATGTGTAAAAAGTTAAATAAAAATTATTTTTAAAAAAGTACCTCTCTCACACCAGATCTAGGAATAACTTTGGTTGTAGAAGGAATTTTATTCTAGATTCTATAAACAGAGTGCAAATATTCCTCAGTTGGTTTAGAGTGTCTCAATTCTTTCCTAACCATGGCCAAAGGCCTCATTTGTTTCTCCATAGGGCTAATATTTTTATCTCTAGAATAAAAACATTCGGCCTCAAAACACAAACAACCAATAGCAATAAGTGAATTCCAAATCCTGGAACTCTGAGAAGAAGAGTTTTCATTAACGCAATTTACTCCACTGTTACAATTAAACATTTCTTTTGCACATTTAAGGAGTCTGTCTATAGCTTTCGAAATTAAAAACAATTATTTTATGGTATCTAGCAATACTCATCTATATTCATCATTTCAAATTAAAATGCCCATATAAAAAACAAATAATTAAGTTAGATGAAACCATATCTAAGTTGTGATGCCATATAAAACTATAAAACCCCTAATTCCTAACTAGAAGAATTAAAAAAAAAAAACAGATCATCTCAACCTGGATTGAGATTTCTATGTCAGAGCAATTATGAATACCTGGATCATTTAATCCCAACACTTTTAACCATGAATTCCCATGAATTCCCTGAAGTTCACACAGTGGCATTATCTAAATACATATAATAATATTAACTGATATTTGCATGTTGTGTTTCATCATCCAAAAACTATTTTATATATTTTCATTTCATCACACTAACATTATGATAAAAATAGGTATCATTTTAGTTTTCTATATAACAGCACTGCAAATTCTTAGAATTAGTATGTAGCAATAAAGAATTTGTGCTAGCAAAGTGTTTTGTTTTGCTTTATTTTTTTGTCAACATGACACAATTGAGGAATTGCTTCCATCAAAGGGATGTTTAGTTAGATATGTAGAGGACATTTACTTGAGTAATGAATGATGTGAAATGGCTCACCCTTCTGATGCTAACACTGTGCAGATGGTCCTGGGTTGTACAAGAAAGGTAGCTGAATGAAGCAGTGAGCAGCATTCCTCCATAGTTTTTGCTTCAGTTCCTGTCCTCGCTTCCCTTAATGAAAAACTCTAATCTTTAAGTCAAATAATGCCTTTCCTCCCTAAGGTGCTTTTGACCATGTGTTTATCATGGTAGCAATAGAAATCAAACTAGCATAGTTAGTAAACATTATATTCATATGGGAAAATGATGTGACTTACTCTACGCTAAGAGAATAGCTAGTTCTTTAAAGGCATATTTTAGGTTTCTTTCCATTTTACCACACTTTACAATTTAAGAGTTCTTGGTAGCTGAATAGGTAATGAGAACATATATGAACTCATGAGGAAATGAAGCGCAGTAATAATATAGTTGAATAACAAACAGCAGTGTCATAGCAATTTTAGAAATACTTACTGGATATTCAAGAAGATCTACTGGCTGTCGAAAAGGCTCTGAATCTTCACATTGAAATATGAGATTTAACAATTCTTGACATTGTTTCTTCCATGCCTGAATATCATAAGACTGAGCTCTATTGCGTAGCCTTCTTCTAGGTTGATGATCCTGGAAAAAAAAAATTAAGTACTATTGTGACTTTAAAAAGTGGCTTGAGAAAGAGTTCAAGTGGAGGGGTTATTTATTAAGGGAAAAGGTTCATAAAAAGGGGAAAGGGGGGGCGACTGCCCTCGGGGACAAGAGGAAAGAAGCGGGAGGGGAGGGGGTACATGGAGAAAGGCAGGGAGAGGGATGGGAGGTGGACAGGGCCCTTTTAAAGGAAAACAGCAGTGGCTGAGGAATATTAATCAAAAATTTGAAAGCCAAAATAGGAATCTTTTTGAGTATCAGTGTAGAGTTTTTGAGCATTCTAAACATCAGATACTCAGATTAGGGATGTTTAATCCATATAAAAATATAAATTCTAATAAAATACTTCTAAGAAAAACATTTATTTTACAATTAAGTTTTTTGAACACTTAATTACTTTTAATATTATTAAGGATAAAGGAATAAGTGTTTAATATACTTTCATACAACAAAACAATATTTGTAAAAGCAAATGCTATCAAAACTAAATATGCTGTTACCTTCCTTTTTCGTGTAGAAGTTCCAGGTACGTCAGCATCTTTTTCTTCTTCCTTTGAGACAATAAAACATCCAATTCATGAAACATCCTATATCTCAGCAATTGGTAGTTATTCCTTTCATACTTTAGAAATTCATAACGAATATCCTATGGTATATCACCGAGTCAGTAAAGTCTTTCCCCATTAAAAATTTGTTTTCAATGCCGAGTAAAGTCTAAATATGATAGCAACAGTTAACAATAGAGTCCTGAAAAAGGTAATTTTGTAACAACTTCAAGCTGAAAACTATTACATGTAAATATTATTTAATGTTCTATAATATGTAGTATTAGTCATTGTACCAATGACAGTGAAGTAAGTTACATACCTCAGAGTCAGACAAAACTTTCTTCTTCATTGAGTTGTAAAGTGGAATTATGTTATAACAAGTCTGATCCCTAAATTATAAAAGAAAATGTTGATGTATAATTAGAGCTTTGTGAATTTTCCTTAGAATTTGTTCCTAAAATAAAAACTTTAAGCCAAACAATTTTTCCATCTGTTGACTACAACTCCTCTTCCACCTGTGGGCTCTTGGAGCTGAACTCAGATTGTCAGGGGAGGCTGCAGATCCGTGTCTGCTAAGCCACCTCACTGGCCTCAACAACTCACTCTTAGTAATTTTTATCATCTCAGATAATTCCATTGCTTATCCCTGGAATGACTTTCCTCTGACCTAACTCCTAAATTCATCAGCATCTACCTTGCTTGTGACCTTAACATTCCTCTGCTGTATACTGTACGTTTCTCTTATCCTTATTATTTTTCAGAATTTTTATTGGTTCATTATTCTTATAGCAACTTTTATCTACCTCAAAAAGAAAAACTCTACGAAAGTAAAGTATGATTATTTCATCAGCAAGGACTTATTACATCACTTGAATGCATCTATTACCTAAAAAATTTGCTGAATAATCAACTGAAAAAATATAATAACCAATGTTTCAAAGCCTTTCTATCTTAGAAGCTTTTACCAACAAATTTTACTTGTATCTAAAATATGCCATCACCAGCGATGGAATATAAATCCTTTAAATCTATATTAACCTGCACTTCAAGATGATGGTATAGCTTTATTTTTTTGGTGGTATTGGTGACTAAACCTAGCCTCTATCAAAAACTAGTATAATGCTTAATCACTAAGCTATAATCCAACACCCAATAACTACTTGAAAGCAATGTGTTTTCATAAATTAATTCAAAATTTTTCTCCTCCTTCATTTAAAAGTGAATTTATTACATAATTCTATAGATGGTTTGAAAAAGATATCACAGATAAAGAGTTCCTTACATAATCAATCAATGCATGTTAGCAAATTCATTCAAGAAAAGGAAAAAGCATAGTAGTAAAAGTCCCCAAACCAATGACTACAGAGCAAATTATCACCACAGTATAAGTAAATCAAATTATTTATAATTAGTGAACCTATAGTAATTTGTTATCAAATCTATATAGAAATTATCTGTAACTCAGAAAATACCCACTGATTTCAAAGAGAGGGATGAATCCTAAGGTAATGCGAAGAAAGATTTGCTTTCAACAGTGGCTCTCAACCTTCCTAATGCTGTGATTCTTTAATACAGTTCCTTATGTGATGGTGACCTCCCCCCCACAATAAAATTATTTCATTGCTACATTACTTCATAACTGTAATTTTGCTACTGTTATGAATCATAATCAAATACCTGATATGCAGCATATCTAATATTGATCACCAAAGGAGACATGACGTATAGGTTGAAAACCACTGATTTAAAATCTGAATATTTTCTCTAATATATATATGTTGGTTGAAATTGTATGAGCATTTAAAATACAGCATTACCTCTTTTTAAACAGAAAAACAAAAATTCTCCAACATAAATAGTGACATTAGCATTCAACTGAAACAGTCTTTTATACCAAAATTTTGTTTATGGCTTTGGCTCCAATTTATGATTCATTCTAAGGACACATCAGCTGAGTAAAGGAGGAAGTGTTTCTGTTTCAAATTGTAGTTACTATCCTTACTGAGGTTTGGAATTGATGAATAGAATACAAACTTTGTGAAAGAACCTTTTTTTTCTTTTTTCCTTTTTTTGAGATGTTGAGATATCTTCTGGAGGTGGGCATGGTAGTTAACCCCTTTAATCCCAACCTTTTAAAGCAAAGGCAGGCAGGTCTCTGAGTTCCAGGCCAGAAAGTGAGAGGAAGACCCAAAACAATAAATAAGGCTATCTTAATGCTGCCTAGGTCATTCCCAACCCTGCATCAGTTTCCCAAATAGGTGGGATGACTTCAATCTTGGAAATTCAAATTATACTACTTACTGTACTGTGTAATATTTTCTTAATGAACTTGATAGAGTAAATATGCTGTTAAAATGAAAAGTTCTCAAATCAAATGGTATACATTTTTTAAACATGCGATTTGTCTAAGGCAAATTTCCTCAACTGGAAACATCAGATAATAATGCCTACCACGTATAAAACTACACATGGTTTAGAGGAGACAATGAAGGAAAAATATTCTATGTTTAATAAACCTTTACTATGATTTTTAATGCCTAATAGTTGGAGTGGGGGCTAGAGAGACAGTTTGGTAGTTGACAGCACTTGTTGATCTCATAGAAAACCCCAGTTTGGTTCTCAATGCTCACATGGCAGCTAAAAACTACTTGACACTCCAGTTCTAGAAGATTTGACACCCTCTTCTGGCTTCTGTGGCCACTGCATGCATGTACTGTATACACATTCATGAAGGAAAAGGCATCCATGAATACATATGTAATATAATTGTTGGGAGGTGATTTTTTTTTTCCTTTCATTTTCTGAGATAGGGCCTTACTACTATGTAGCTCTAGCTGGCCTGAAACTCTACAGCTAGACCATGCTTCCCTCAAACTCACCGAGAGTCACTCTTTCTGCATCCCTGGTGCTGGGATGAAAGGCATGTTTTCTATTTTAAAAGATGAACTATGCTTATGTGACAACATCACATATGTAAAAGATGACTGCAGTTTACATTTTAGTACTTCATATTTTAAATTATTTTACATGTTAAAATCACATCATTAAGTATTACAACTATTATACTGAAGGATATATAACTCACTTTATAAAATGCAGAAGAAGATCAGTAACGAATTTTGCAGATTTCACAATAGGGCTTCCTGGCTCATTAAATGTTCGTGTATTATGTTCTATATATCGAACTTCCCACATCAGGGATGAAATGCGCCTTAAAAAACAAATACAGAAACTGTAATCTTATATTTATAAATATATATGTGCATAGTTTAAAATTATGACATGGTATTTTAGTTTCATTCTTAAAACATTACTCACATCTTAAAAATCTATCTCTAAAATAATATTTAAGAATCAAACTCATTCATAAGAGAAAAATTTATTGTATAGAAAATGTCTAAAATAAGACATACCAAACTATTAACAAAGCTGCTGTTTAGAAGGGGGGATATCCACAGGAAAAGTGGCAGAAGAGGAACAAGTTAATAGTTTTTAACCCATTTCTGAAATATATGTTATCACCCCCCATTTCCATACAAAAAGGAAACCATTTTAAATTATACTAGTAGCATAATTAACTCACATGTGAAGATGAAAGGTAATCAATAGAATGTTAATAAAACATAAAAAGATGATGAGAATATGCAAGAAACTTAACTAGCAATTATTTCTGAACATTTGGCATAATGCTAAAAGAAGTCTGTGGCTTCATAATTTTATTTCTAAAGCAAAGGAAAATCTGAAGACACTTTCTGAGAGCACAAGGCAATTGCAAAGCAGTTAATCTTGCTTGTGAACAGATGAATTACACAGAATTAAAAACATGCAACTGGAGCTATAAATACATACATAAGAATGTCCATAAATTTAAAAACATAAAATAAGGTATTAAATTATTAGCAGACAAAATTTATAGCAGTTTAACCAAGGAATGAATGTCATCAGAAGAAAAATCATAAAACTAAAAAGATACAAAACAATAAAAAACCCTTAAACAGAGTAATATTTTTAAAATTGTGTTAAATAAGTACATGATTCATATTTGTTGGAAAACAATTTCTATTTACACATGCACAAGTTCCTATTAATTATAAACTGGTTATAAACATAGATTAACACCCAAGAAGCCTTTTAAAGACATTTATCTTCAAAATAAACTACACTTTAGCAATCAGCATGTTTTAGCAATCTGTCTGTAAGAAAGTTTATTAACAATAGTTGTAAACGCTAACTCCTTTTGCAAGCTGTAATCCAACAACCACTGAGTCTCCCTCACGTCCTCCCACGTTTTGTTCTATCCTGTTGCTATGTATATACTCTCCTAAACCTTAGAGAATCCAGGTCGAGGAATACAGTTAATATTCTCCATTTGTTCTGCTCAACTTCTGTACCTCATAGTGGAAGCCTTGAAGATAGGCTGGCAAAGAATGTATCTTAGGAAATTGGAATTACCAGTAAGTATACTACAGCAAATAGACCTTTCAAACCAAGTGGAATTCTATTTTGCTCAATTGGTTCCCACCCACCAACAGAACATATGGCAGGTAGGAAGAAAGAGTTTTCTACCTCACATGTCAGTAACATTGCTGCTGAGAAGACCTAGGCTAGTCAGTAAAGACAAAGCACTGTTTCCAATGGTATATCCAAGGATACAACTCACAGCAGTTAAGAAACCCAAATTTATATTTTATACTGAAACATCAATATAAGGTATAAAGAAAAACTTCCTAAAGCACTGCAAAAATGTAAAACTGATCATAAAAATAAATTACACAAATATTATGTACATTAAAGTGATGGCCTACTAAGCAGTAGACACTAAGAAAAATAAAATTAAAAATATAATTTATCTCCAAACTATAGATTTAAACATACTTCTCCAAGTATTTTAGGCAGCCATTAACCTCAGCTCTTGGGAGACAGAGGCAGAGGCAGGTCGTTCTGAGGACAACTAGAGTTACATGGCAGGTTACAAGACATCAAAGGCTACATAGTGAAACCCTGTCTCAAAAAAAAAACAAAAAACAAAAAACAAAAAACAAAAAACACCTGAAGAATTCACTGGCAACTAAAAACCTATCCTGAAGAAGCAAATTAACCACAATAGCTTAAGTAAAAACTATAAAAAAATTTGTGAATCCTTTTAATTGTATTTTCATAGGTACTCAAAAGCTCAATAAACAAATGAGAGATTTATAGAAAAATCTATTAAATATTCTAGTATATTACTAGGAGAAATGAAATCTTGGGCTTGATTATAAATCAAGTATGCATTCATAATCCCATAGACAAGCAGCATAAACTTGAGGAAACTCAAGAAATGCTGAGTATAAGGACCTACTCAAAACTTGATGATTTCATAGTTCATTTTTATGTGACCCATATGTGATTAATTTCCATCTGTATGTACCCAAAACTGAAAATATTGCCATAGACTGTTAGTAGTTAAATGAAAGGAGTTCTATTGTTATCAGAAACATCAAATGGCTCTAACCTGTAAAACCTGTTTTCCAGTCTTTGTTTAATTGTACTTAGATCCGTTGGATATGCCACCACAGTGCAATACATGGGATAAGCTTGCAGATCCACAGGGGCCACAAATGCTGAAGCAATATCTAAAACAAATAAGGTTATAAATCTATTTTTTTATGTTTTAACAATCACTGGTACATTGGGATAAAGAAGAAACAGATAAATGTATCATTAACTTATCAACACAAAGAAAATAGAGCAAGATGAGAACACTGAACTACTTTAATCCTAAAATATTGGCGAAACTAAGGTATTTATAAGATGACTTTTTTAAAGTTTCTATTTTATTAGACTTTGGGGCTGAGTATACAGTTCAGTGGTACAGTATTCGCCTACCATATGCAAGGAAACAAAAACAAAACTTCTAGATTTGATTATACACGCATATGCCCAGTGTCTTCAGTTCTTACTCTTAATTTCTCCTCCAATGTCCTTTGAGTTGATTTTGAACTACTACTATAGGTTGCTTAAATTACAATATTCTGTAATATTCACATCCTGTCATTTGAATGTATGAAGACTTTACAAACTGGTTTGTAAAAGACCCAAGTTTTTCAAATACCTGTGGTATTTATGGCAGACTCATGAAATTTAGTTACAAAAAATTCATATAACTTAAATGGATTTACTATACTGAAGCACTGTTATTATTTACCTAGGGTCATCAGCTGATTTATTCCTCCAACAATTCTTTCACATTCTTCATCCCTGGGATTGGCTCCCCACTCTCCATCAAGAGGCTTATAGATTAGTGACCGACATTCAACATCAGTTAAAGGGACACTGGTACCCAATTCTTCTGGAAATACAGCTGAAGTATAGATAGAAAAACACATCAACGAAAATCTTTAGTAATTACTGTTGAGTTTTCCTTTAGAAATAATTGATGTTACTAACAAAAATCACTATTTTTGTAATGAAACAATTTTAAAATGCAAACAAAATGTATTCCCTTTAAAAAAAATTTTTTTTTGGTTTTTTGAGACAGCATGAGTCACGAACGCTTGGAAAAATGTACTAGTAAAAAAGACATCATAGCCAGGCAGTGGTGGCACACGCCTTTAATCCCAGCACTCAGGAGGCAGAGGCAGGGGGATCTCTGACAGTTCAAGGCCAGCCTGGTCTACAAGAGCTAGTTCCAGGACAGATTTGAAAGCCACAGAGAAATCCTGTCTCAAAAAAAAAGACATCACATTGAAAATCAATGATTACTTACACCTAAAAAGTATACGATAGTCAAGCTATACCTAGAAAATATTTCTACAAAATTTTTTATCCATTTCATAATTCAACTGCCATATTTACTTTAATAAAGTGCATACAATGATAATAAACTAATGAAAATGTCAATGTTTTAATCAAAACCTCAAAACTTTTAATACAGGAACAAAGAGAATTATGAATCCCAAGAGGAAACTCTTAGGTCTTTCATTTGTGAAATGATGGTTTTTACACACTTAAATCTTTAACACTGTACCTAGGAAACTTTCAAGTTGAGGCTGAATCTACAAATGCACCAGGCTGTATTATTTCCTTTGAACTAGACTATAACAGAAACCAATCACAATATGCTATCAAAATAACTGTGTTGTGTATGTATGTGAACTCAAATATAACAACAAAAAAAAACCTTCACCAGTACCATCAATGGACACACAAAGACATATTTAAATAGTTAATTAGTATATTAACTTTTTATAAAAATAGTCACAGTACTAGAAAGCCAACTGCATTTCTTTATCAGGCCAATTCTAAGGTCACATAACCAAATCATTTCAAGTTCAAACACAAGATTTAAACTCACAAAGATAGACAAACCAGCTGATACCTTTACAATTTCTTTCTTACAGTATTTTCACTTGAGCAGCAAAATGAAAATGTTTATTACTGGCACTAAATGAACTAATTGTAGACCAACATTATCAACATGAATTTTTTTTTCTAAGGTTTCCTGACTGAGTTTATTTCCTATTTAATACTTCCAAAAACCACATATGGCAAGTTAGAACATCAAGAATTTTAAAAATTTATATATCTATTCACATGTATGGGTGTTTTGCCCAAATGTATGTCTATGAACCAAGTGTATGCCTGATGTCCACAGACCAGAAGAGAGGCTCAGATTGCCTACAAGTAGGTTTATACATGGTGGTGAGTATGTGGGAGCTGGGAACCAAACCCAAGTTCTCAGGAAGAGAGGCCAGCGCTTTTAACTGCTGAACCATCTTCTCCAATCCTCTTGTTTTGCTTTTGTCTTTTTTAAAGATAGAATTCCACTATGTAGCCCTAACTGGCAAGCAAGTTCCTAAAGAGATGAGTCTGGTTTGAAACTAGAAGGAAATATCTATCAATTTTTTAGAGTATATTGAGTACTCAGAAATATCATTCATAAAGGCTTATTTCTATTATGCTAAAAATGAGATATTTTTCTTTGATAAAATTATCTTTATCTGATGATATAGGTATATAACATTTAGAAATGCAAACTGTTACATAAAAGATTCTAATATAAGCCGGGTGGTGGTGGCGCACGCCTTTAATCCCAGCACTCAGGAGGCAGAGGCAGGCGGATCTCTTATGAGTTCGAGACCAAGCCTGGTCTACGGAGCGAGTTCCAGGACAGGCTCCAAAACAATACAGAGAAACCCCGTCTCGAAAAAAACAAAACAAAACAAAAAACAAACAAACAAAAAAAGATTCTAATATACAAGTAAACCATTTATAATCTATTATATATTGCTTAAACCCTTTTTTAGCATGTACAAACAATGTCCTACTTTTAAAAACTTGAGACAAAACCTGCTAATCAAATAGAAATTATAATCACCATTCACTCTTTTCTAGAATAAAAACATGTCATAGTCACTTCCCTAGGGCTAACTCCCCAATCCCAACTTTCCTAGGCTGCATTTCGTTAGTGTTATTAATTGTAACTCTCCGTAGCCACTGATCACTCAACATTTGTCACATATAATGGGAAGTAATTTTGAAAGAATAAGAAAAGCACTTGTTTAGATAGCAAAGGATGAATACCAAGGAAGTGATTTTGAGATGTGGGAACCAACCAAGAGCACAATCAAAGTAGCAAAAGAAAATCCTGCTGTTACATCCACTCAAAAACCGCACCTCTTAACGACTATCTGCTGCTGTTGGCCAGGCATGGCAGCTCATACCTTTAACCCCAGCACTCGGGAGGCAGAGGCAGCCAAATCTGCGTGTTCGAGGGCAGCCTACAGAGTGAGTTCCAGGACAACTAGAACTATTACACAGTGAAACTGTCTTGAAAATACAAAAAACAAACAAACAAACAAAAAACCGAAAAAAAAACCCAAAAATCCAAAACAAAAGTCTTTGTCTCAATATATTAATTTCAATCTCCCCTTTAAGGCTGAGGTTCCAGATAGGAAAGGATTATCAATCATGTTCTCTGGTTAACCTTATCTAATTTTATAATTAATAGTACACTTATAATTAATACTTTTGTTGAATATTTTATATTTGTTAGTCACAATAACCTTAAATGGTATCAAGTTCTGTGTTTTGCTTTGTGAGTCAAGTTCTTACCATGCACTCCTAGCTAGGTTTGAAACATGCAGTAATCCTCCTACCTTTGCCTCTTGAATTCGGGAATTCACCTCCAGCAGTAAACCAGTTTTCTTATTTAAAAAACAAAAACCTCTAAGCTGAAGGGATGGCTCAGAGGAAACAGTTGACTCCCATAAAACCTAACAGCCCAAGTACAATCCTCAGCATTCCAAGGTAGAGAACCAACTCCTGCAAGTTATCTTCCAACTTCCATAAACCTGCCATTACATATGTGCCCATACACATCACACACACACACACCCCTAATTCACACATGTATGCACACACACCCCTAATTCACACATGCATGCACACACACACACACCCCTAATTCTAATTCCACAAGGTAAAAACAAAAGATCTAACATACACTTACCATTATTAGGTATTAGTTCCATATCCCAAGGACTCATCTTTTCTGTATCTCCATTGTCCCAACTTTAAGAAAGCAAAATTATTCCATTAAAAAATATGAAAATTAAAATCACATTAAACAAATTAATTGTTCCAGTACTTAAAAACATATTTTTACTGATAGATTAAAAAAAAAAAATTAAAAAACCTGGCCTAATTGAAAATACAACCAGTTTTTTCTTACCAAACATTGTAACACTGAAACAAACTATCAGGGTACTCAGGTTGAAGAGGCTCTTGACTTTCAATTGTTCCAAACCACCAGGCATCATCTATTACTGATCTGAAGCGGTCACCTGGAAAAGACGAAAGCCCTATGTTTCATGACACTGGCATGTACTGTTGCTGTAGTTAACTACCTTTTCCTACAGTTCTTAAACTGGACGATTTCATAAGACGGAAGACCCATGTATTCCAAAAATAAATGATATCTGTACTATGGGTTTACTTCTGATTAAAAGTATTTATAGCTTATTTTAAACTTTTTACTTCCCATTATTGCCTCCAAATAACAATGAAGAATTAAGATTAAAAGCAAAAATCATAAAAAAATTCAGTTTGCCCCCCTCCACCGCTATCATCCTTACACTATACACATTCACTCTCCCTTTCCTTTCTAAAGGGCAACCAAAAAAAAAAAAAAAAAGTGAAAATTGTCATTCTTTGTAGAAAAAGAAAGCATGCCTTTTGTCCATTTCCTTATTCAATTGCTATGGTTATATTACTAAGATTGCTTGTAATAAACAAGCTGCAAGAGTCAATGTTTTTAATGTCAATCTTTTCAGCTTCCTAGTATCATATAAGAACTGCATGGCACCCTTTTTGTAGCGTTTTTCTCTTTTGTGGCTTTCATAGCACAGAGTTTTCTCCTGAAATAGGCAAGTCTAAAAGATATGGGGTCAAATAAAAATATTCATGCAGCAATGTATTAATCGGTTTTTAACTGTCTTGTACTCAATAATTACATTATCTACATTGTAACAGTGTAAATAGTGTCTTCTACTAAAGTACTTTTCATTTTAACACACAATTAAGGAATAATGAATTAAATTGCCAACTAATTGGTCAGTTATTTTGTTTTTCCAGACATGGTTTCTTTGTAGCTTTGGAGGCTGTTCTGGAACTAGCTCTTGTAGACCAGGCTGGTCCCAAACTCACAAAGATCTGCCTACCTCTGCCTCCCGAGTGCTGGGACTAAAGGCATGTGCCAACACTGCCCAACCAGTTATTATTTTTAAGATAGGTATTTTCTCATGTTTTAAAAACTGACTTAAAACATTTATGTAGGCATGCATAAAATAAAAGTTAAAATCAGAAAAACAAAGTAATGGATCTTTTAAACTAGAATTCTTTTAAAATTATAAAGAGAATATTTTACAAACTGTTATAAAGTATATAATTTTGACTGGGAGAGTTGGGACCAAATTTAGATTTAAGCATGATGGACTATTAAGGCTGTCATTGTTCCTCAAATGTGTATGAGGGATAGAGAACGTAAGAGTTTTCTCTAAATCTATGAGAACTGTGGTGGTATTTTGTTTATGATCCAACAAATAAAGGTTGCCTGGAATCAGGGTGCAAAGCTAGCTACACTAGTTAGCCAGAGGCTGGGCAGTGGTGGTACATACCTTTAAGGCCCACCCTGAGCTACACAAAATTGATCCAGTCTAAAAGAGAAACAGGAGCTACACAAAGGTGAGCTTATCAATAGAGAGGATATCGATAGAGAGGAATATAAGGTGGGATATAGGAGCTCAGTCTGGAGAAGCAGTCTGAGGACAGAATCACCCTTTCAGTCTGAGCATCAGTAGAAGTTAAGAACTCTCTAGTTGCTGGCCATTTGCTTCTCTGATCTTCGAAATTAACCCCAATATCTGTCTCTGGGTTTTAATAGTACCAATTAGAATTCATGCTATAGAACATTACAAAAATGTGAACTTAACAGTCCAGTTTCTTAGGACGCTCCCAAGCCTGACAAGCTTTGCCACACGAAGAGACAGATACTATGTATGAATCTAGCCACAATGAACAGTCCTGTTAAGTTAATGACGGTGAGTATCTGCCAGAGTCAACCATAAAACATTCTTGGTCATCTTACGTGGTAGAAGACAGATACATATCATGTCAAAAATAAAGGACCAACTAGATACTGAATATTGAAGATATAATATACAAATATAAAAAACTGAAAGATCTAAATAAAAATGCTGTGATGTTTATTTATTCATTCAAAATATGATTTGCCTGCATGTTTGTGATTCAATACAACCATATATAAAAACGTGTTCCACTGATTCTACTATTCAAATAAAATTACAAGTTGCTTCTTGCAATTTGTTTATTTTCCTCAAATAATTTTCACATGTTTTTCTATGTATTTAGTGTTTCTATAACACAAGTTTTTATAAAGCACTTTTCAAATATAGTTTTCTACAGTAACTTTTTTTTTTTCTAAGATAATGTGAATTCAACTCTTTTCTGAAGATTTCCTTCATGGTGATAATGTCTTCTGGATTCCTAGAGACTGCTTTGCATTTTTCCTGTGATGGACTTTGGTTTCTTAAGAGGATGGCATAGATTTCTTCTGTTTTATACTCCTTGCCCTCTTTCAGATAAACAAACAAAATACTCCCTTTCACTATGGAAACTTAATACATGAGTGTCGTTACAATGTTTTTACTCATGCTCCTGTCTGCTTCCTTCGTCCACTTACAATTAAGTTTTACCAGAGCAATCAAGTACAACAGCATGCCAATGTCTTCCAAAAGCACCAGAAAAAAATAAACTGATATACTAACTGATACAAATTGTCATCTACTACAATCCCCTCTAAGATAGAAAACAGTGAATTTGTTTGAAATTAAGAACTAGTCAATGAATAACATTCCCACTTGTACAATTTAAAATAGCTTAAAAGCCTGACAATCTATTTTGCAATCTCAGATAGTTATGAATAATAAAATCAGCTAAATGTTATTCCAAGTTAAAAATTGTAACATGATTTTATTAATGTGATTGGATAAATATTTAACTCAACACGTAAAAGAACTAAAAAGGTAATGGTTAACAAAATGGGACAGAACATGTTTTGCTTTGAAATGTAAACATCAACTATTAAAGTATTTTAATTCTCAAAACTCAAAAATGGCACTTCACGATTTATAAAAAAGGCTTTCCTAACTATGAATCACAGTAAATCATTTAGAAAGGAAAGGGAACGATATACAGATCACCTCTGGCTTCTAAATCAATTACCCACCTATATTCCACCGCCTATATTTTGCGTCATCAAATTGTTGTCTCAAGACTAGGAAATCTATAACGTCAGGCATATCATGGTATCTATTACAAATAGAAACAAACTGATTAGGTCACACACCTAAACATATCTAAGGTATGCTCAAATTTATTTCAATCTTGAAAAATACTCCAATACTATCAAAGTACTGCCTTGGTATCAGTCCTTACTTCATGGTAAATGATCCACCGGTCAGTTTACCAGTATCAGGATCTAGAAAAGCAAGTTTAAGGCAGCAAAGAGTAGGCAATCCCACTTCATACTTGATACCAACGATCTTCATCAGTTCTTGTTCCTACAATACAGAAAACAAGAATTATCACTGCAGAATAAAGTGTGTGCTTGTGGAGGTCAGAGGTGGATGCATGAGGTTTTTCTGATGACTATCTGTTGTATTTACCTTCAAAGGAGCCTCTAACTGAACCTGTAAATTGTGAGTCTGGCTAAAGTCTGACCAGTTTGCCCAAGTCCCTGTCTGTGCCTCCCATTTGCTAAACTAAGAAGATAGAAAAGCACAAAGACAGACACCACTCCCCTACATCTCAGGGGTGCTGAGGTGCTGAACTATGGCCCTCACCCTTCAATGTAACCACATTTTGCACTTCACTATTTCTCCAGCACCATACAGTTTCTTACATTCAAAGAGTAACCATACAACTTCCTTCATAATTGAAAGTGCATCTTTCACACCAAGAATTATGCCAATATCATACCCTTAGTTCCATCTTATGCCATGGCTGTTTTTTAGGATTGATACTATAAATTTTATTTTTCCGGGCCATTTCAACATATGCTTCATGTCCTTGTCGGAAATAATAAACCTAAAATAAACAAATAAATAAATTGAAACTAAAGCTGCAAGATAACACTAACAACAAAAATTTAGACATTACATAGAAATTGTAATACTGAAGTTTAAATGTTATTCCTCGAGTTGTCTAAAAGACAATTAAAACTGAAGCACTCTAATTAAAAACTCCTTTGTGCATTTACTCAGAAAATTAAGATGTGCAGATGTATTGTTTTTACTTCATTATTTCATCTTTGGATTCAAAATAAGTTAATCCATGTGACTAAGAAAGTCATTTATGAAGGGCAGTAGTGGCAAACACCCTTAATCCCAGCACTTGTGAGGCAGAGGCAGGCGGACCTGTGAGTAGGAGGACAACCTGGAATACAGAGTTAGTTCCAAGACAGGCTCCAAAGCCACACAGAGAAAACCTGCCTTGAAAATCCAAAGGAAAAAAAAGACTCAAAAAAGTAATTTATAACCATTTAGTTATTTCTGAGGCAAGAAGGTCATTAAATAAATAAATCCAGATTTTTCTTTAGACTCACTCTGGTTTATTTTCATTTTAAAATTGTTAGTTCCTGTGCTTTGAAAAGTGAAGTCTCTATTTTAAGTATTTTTATAGTTAGTCTGTTGGATGCTACATATCACCTCTCAATCTGTATATAAAATGAGGAGATATTATACTGAGAAATTCTGACAGTCTTAAATTAAACTCAAATTCTTAACTACAGTCAGTCTAAAGGGGTTTCTTATGTTAAGATCATAGACATTAAGGACATTTAAGTTATCAACATAAATAAATGAATTTTGATATAAAAATTAAATGGAAACAAAGTATTTTTCTTGTTATATGCTATACAGATGCATTTTTATCTAGAAACAGCAAAGAATGTGGATGGAAGCAATCTCAAAAGGGACAAGGCCCTTGGCATTAGTCAGTCCTAAACAAATACACATATTCAACACTAAATAGAACCAGCAGGATGCATTTACATATGGATTATAAAATAATATAAAATTGAAGAAAAAGGTCATGAATTTGAGGAGGGTAAGACATAGGAGTTGGGGGAGGGGCAGAAATGATATAAATATAGTACTGATATGAATATCTCAAAAACTTAAAAACTATAGTAGGAGAAACCTTAAAACAAAAAGAAATGTAAAACGGCAACTAAATCCTTTGTTAAAATATGCCAGTTTTAAACATGGCAACAAATTTTCTGTCCTTTTATAATACTTAAATTATTACATATTTATAGGAGTCCTGATTATTGCTAGACCTTTGGTTGTATTTTTCCAATACTGAAATGAGATACTTTTTTTTTTTAGGAACCTACTGTAATCTTCTAGAAGTATGTTTCCAGAGCTATAAAAGATACTGAGATTACTACTTGAAAAATCTTAAAAAATATTGAAACCATCTAAGTTAGAAGTACCTCATCACCCATTTGTGGCACAAATGGGCATCTTCTGGGAAGTGTATCTGTAATCCATGTTGAAGGCAACCATTCTTCTAATGTAAGACCATTTTCAGTTAGCTCTCCCACGGCCAATCTCTGAGAAAAGAACAGAGCAGCATCAGTAGAATATCAAATATAGGAAAATGAGCTCTGCACACCTAGAAAGGAAGTGCTATTGTGCCACCTGAACTTGAAGACTATCTAAAAACAAATTTATCATGCTGTTCTGTGGTATCTACTGATAAAGAAGGGGAAAAAAGTCCAGTCAAAAGGAACAGACCATAATATCTTACTCTCACTAAAATAAGCCCCATAAACAGATCCTGCTACAATATCCTGACACAGCCAAACAACAGGATTAAAATATGTCAAACGGGAGATTCAAATATAACACTGGCTCAGACTGCATTAACCATCATTCATTCATAAGGCAAAAAACAAGGACAAATGTGCCATTCTTTTTGTTAAAATTGTCTCACAAAATGAAAGGGCAATGAGAACCATTGCTTGGTATAACAGTTTATAATTATAGAGTTGAAATAAATATGAATTCAACCAATAAAATCAAATAAACACTTAACACAAAAATTTATTCTTATATTTCAAGGCTTCTTCATAATAAAAAGAGCCAGAGCATACTAGTACTTAATTTTACAAGTAACATATTTACTTTTAAAGAAAGTAAAAAAAAAAAGGGGGGGGAGGGGGAAGCTGTCTCACTCCATAGCCTTGGTTATCCTACAAGTTTTCTATGCACATTAAGCCGGCCTCAAAAATTTGCCTGCATCTCCTTGGGATTAAAGACAGGTTAACTACACCTAGCTAGGAATAGGTAAACACATATTTATAAATTTTCTATTTACCCAAACATGCTTATTAACTATAGTATTGTCTTTAAATTTTAAAAATTGGTTCTCTCTGTCTCTCGTGTGTGTGCTCGTGGGCCACATGTGCCACGTTATACACACATCTGAGGTAACAGGACATGGGCAGGGATCAATTCTCACATGACACCATGTGAGACCTAAGGATCAAGCTCAGTAGGCCAGGCTTGGTTGGCAGCAAGTTCCTCCACCTGCCATCTCCATGAGCCATCCACAGACCCTTCCTACAGTACTTAGACAGCAGAGATACACAAACATTTCAGAGGAAAAGAAACACCATCTTATTTTCATTTCCTGGTTAAAGAATTTCAGCTTTGCTGGGTGTTGGTGGCTCACACCTTTAAACCCAACACTCTGGAGGCAAAGGCAGGCAGGTAAGTTTGAGACCTGCCTGGTCTACAAATTAAGTTTCAGAATAAGGCTCCAAAGATACACAAAGAAACTCTGTCTTGAAAAAAACAAAACAACATCAACAAATACAAAACAAAACAACCACCAACAAAAATCAAGCATAAAAGAATTTCAGCTTTAGCTTTGTGAATACAGGTTTTTCTCTTGTTTCCTTTTTTCTATCTCAAATTATCCAAATTCACCAAGTAACCAAACAAACACATTACTAACTCAGTAAGTGAAAACTTGTGGTTTGGACACTGCATTTAATGAAAACTTGCTATATGAAATACATTGTACCCAACATTTAATTTATATTTGCTTTATAGTCAACCATGACAAGTTTTTTAATTCATATTTCATGTGATGTCTCCCTGGGAGTTTCTCTGTAATTTTAGCAATAACAATAGCATAGCTAAATATAAAGACTATTACTATACAAAATACCTTTCATATCACTATTTTGCTAGCATAAATAAACCTCATTGATTCTGAGAAAATGTTTTAAAATTAATTAAATGCTCAAATATTTAAACTATGGTTCTGTTCTGAGTAAACATTTTCAGGTGTCAAAAACCCCAAACATTTGTGTCAACATAATCTTTTCCATGTACTTTACTATTACTTATTATATAATTATGAATTTTTTCAATTATTTGTTATTAAAACTAAAAAAACATTTGTATTGGATTTGTCAATTTATGCTTTAAATCATTTCCCCAGAAGAAAACATTAGACCTAAAAGATTTAAATCTACCTTTTGTTTTCTTTCTTTGGGCTTTTTTTTCTTTGGTGACGTTGGTCCATCTTTTTCTTCATTTGCCTTTTTCCTTTCCTTTTTAATATGTTTTTGCTTCTGATTTTCAGATTCTTCTTCCTCATCAGAACTACTTTCTGCTTTCTTGGTCTTATGCTTAGGAACTTTCTTTGGTGGTTGCAAATTAATTCCAGCATCTGCTGTCCAATCAGAATAATCACTGGAGTAGTCACTAGAAAGAGAAGCAACTTTGAAATCTCACAGGGTATAGTTTTAAGACCATTTTATAAAAATATAACGAGATAAAAAAGGACGAGAGAACTAAAAGTTATTTCATTTTGATCATTTCCCAATAACGTTCACTATCTAAAAACAAATTTCACAACTTTCTATAGAAAAATAAATTAAAAACCTTTTATGATTTCAAAAAACAAAATGTCCTGCATATATGTCAATAACCTGGCATGGTATTATCATGGAGTATCATCTTTTTCAGTTCAAATAGAAGTAGAAAGAGCCCTGGAGAGTCAGCACGCATACACCACAATAAACACAGGCATTTCTTTTATGAGGGTGTGGTGATATATTATTTATGATTCAATAAAGCTTGCCTGAAGATCAGAATGCAAAGCTAGCCACAGCCATAGAGGCCAGTCTATGGTGATGCCCACCTTTAATCCCAGGACTCAGGAGACATGCAGACTTCAAGGCCACACAAGGATACACGACAGTGAATTGATCTAAACGAGAAACAGCACCAGAGAGGTGCCAGCACTAGAGAGGTATATACATAGACAGGAACTCAGTGTCTCATGCTGTGTATGGCAATTAGTCTCCAGCCATGTTGCGATCAGGATGTCCCCAGCCTTGGTAGAGGTAAGAGCTCTCTGGTAGCATGGCTGCTTTGTTTTAATGATCTTCAGCTTGAACTCCAACAGCTATCTCTGGGTTTTTATTATTTATGTTACACGAGGGGTCTTAGAATTCTTTTTAGTCTCTGGGGGATTTAAACCTTGTAAGTACTCTACCACTGAGGTAGCCGAAGTATGAAATTCTTTTTTATTTTCAAAATAGGACCTTACTATTTCTAACTGGCTTCCAACTTACGGAAACTTACCAGCCTCTGCCTCCAGAGGACTGGGCTTAGAGGCATGCACTAGCATGCCTGCCTTAAGGATGAAGTTCTTAACCAATGAGAATTCTCATGGCAGTTGAAAAGTGTGCCTACAAAGTAGGAAGGCTGAACTCATAAACATTACTTAGCATGTAAAATGAAGTTAATTTCATGGTAGGAGTGTGGCTTAATGGCAAAATGTTTTTCCCTAGTAAACACAACATACAAGTTTAACCAACTACAGGACCACAATTTTATCTACCCTTCCATTATGGAGAAACATATAGGATGGATTCTCTTACATTCCACTATCAATCATGCTTGCCATTATCTTTACAGTTTACTTTTACAGATATACTAATCCTGATATGGTACCCTAAACATATCAAGCTATATTGTCTTCTGTTTAATTTTAGTACATTAGAATATCTACTTATTTTGCACAGATTTAAGTATAAATGTCTTAAAGCGATGAGTTAGATTATGTTAAAATCTATAATCACAACACACTAAACCACTAGTTGGTTTATGTGATGTATGGTCATATAGTTCCAATATTAACTAATAAGTTAACACAGATTTTGAACTATAGTTGTAATCTATCACTCACTTTTCCCTAGTCTAAATCATTTTTTACTGTCATTTACCTGGCACTTTCTAAGAGTAATCATTCTATATCAGAGTAAAAAAAAAAAAAAAGCCTTCTAATATGATTTGATTTTTAGGCACCTCCCTATTTAGTTCCTGCTGGCCTGGACTTCACTATGTGTACCAAACTGGCCTCAAGTTTACAAACATTACCTTTTATCTATAGCCCAAGGGCTAGGAGTAAACCCATATGCCACCATGGACAACCTTTAAAATGGCTTTTAAAGGATCTAAATAATGTTTTGAAACACTGTCCTCTAGTATGGGGTCTTTTCAACTTATGAGCATTGGCTGCTGGTAACTGGAATATTCAGTTCTTCATAAAAAATCTGATGCCAACATAAACATAAACTCCAGAAACCATGTTTTTGACAACAAAGATCCTCAGTGCTATTTCAATGTAAGAATTACTATGTTGTCTTCTGGTTTAAAATACACTATTTCAGCTACTGAACCAAGAGAAAGTGAACTTGTTTTCACTGCTCTGCTTCAAAAACAGAAAACTATTAAATACTATCTATAGACATTTGTATAACATCATTAAGAGTCACTATTGAGGGACAGGAAAGTCTTTAATCCTAGAACTGATCAAAATCTTCTAGAATTACAGCATCCACTAAATGTTTCCTTTAGAAATCTATTTTAGGAACTGCTAAAGAAGGAAAAACAAAATATAAGTAGCAACTAATAATTTCCTCCCTCAAGGGTGTATCCCCATTGACCATTAAAACATTCTTATGCAGTTAGGACTATTAGGCCTCTAAAAATATGAAATTCTACACGTTGTTGAAGGATTGAGTTCTTGCTTGCATGATCAAAATATAGGGGCAGTAGAAAGAAACACTTTCTTTTCATTGCTGGTAGAGAAAATTAGTATTAGCCCATAGCCCACAAGTACATTCACTCAGGAACTAATTCAATATGAACTCTTTACTTTTATAATCTGATACTTAAACATTCCTCAAATTCAGCAGTGAAGCTAAATTTTAATTCTGTATGATAAATACATCAGTCAGAAATACAATAACAAGCAGGCAGATGAGTTAAAAACATCACTTTACAAATCTAGTTGCAATCTTTCTATAAAAGCACATCAGAAAGAGAACCTAACCTTTTGTTACCCGAAAGACCCTTCAAATACGTTTGTATACAAAATTCGGATGGGTAGAGGTAGAGCAGTTGGAAGAGTAACACTCCTTTCGTTTATACCTGGAGCTGCCGTCACTGTGCCACGCCCGCTCCTCTTCTTCAGACGTCCCACCACTGACAGCAACCACGTCACCTTCCTGAGACAGGAAGCACAGACTTCATAAGATAATGCCCAAGAATAGTAGGACGTCTAAAACCTGACTTGGTAGTAGAAAAGTATAATTTTTATATATTTATTCAAAAAAGCTGAAACAAAAGTCCGTAAGGATTATCTATTAATAGCAACCTCAGAACAACTCTCAGATAATTGCCAGATTTCACTTTCATTTTATTCTTCAGTACAGAGAACGGGTTTTGGACACCTCAGGTTCTTAGCTACATCTGTAGCCTTGTGATTCTCTTTCCTGTTTCCCAAGCACTAGAATTACAGGTTTATTCCAACCAATAGGCTTCATTTTTAAAAGGCCCAAGAACAAATTTATTACAATGACTGACATCAGCTAAAACTCATGTATACGTCTTGAACCTTTCTTAAAAGCTGTTTTCTCTTTGTAGATGCTTTTAGAATCTTAAAATTAGTTATTTATATTTAGTTATATTTATTACTAAAACAACTTTATAAAACAGGATATTCCATCTCTAGCCTTATTTTATCCAGTGATTATTGCAACAGATAAACTGTTTCTCCTCTTAGTAACTATTACAAGTTCATAGAATACTATGGGTTAAGCAAATTTTTTCGTAAGGTTGTTACTTTTTGTTATAAATCTGATGCATCTTCTTTATATAAACACCATGCTCCAACAGTAACAGTTCCCAGAGTTACTGACTACTTTAAAGGGCTTTCTTTTTTGTTTGTCATCTGTCTTAGACTTAGCAAACATCAGAAATAATCTATCATCTCAGTACAAAAAGCTTTAGAAGTTTGAGGCAACACAACTGTTAAGAAAGAAAGTTTAATTTGAGTCTAGGTCATTGCTGTCCAAAGCCTCGACAATTTTCAACAAGAATGATTCAGTTTTACTAGATGCCGGGCACATCAAAACCAGCACAAGATGATAGCACTCTTTACAACTTAAATAATTTTTAAAAATATATTTATTTTATGTGTGTGAGTGTTTATTCATATTGACATTTGTACCACCTGTGTTTCTGCTGCTTGGAGATCAGAGGGCTTAACATGGATTAACAACAGTAACAGTTGGTTGCGGCCTTCCAAGTGAGTGAAGGGACCCAAACCCAGGTCCTATAGAAGAGCAACAAGTGTATTTAACTGCTGAACCTTTTCTAGCAACAGAGTATTTTATTTTTTTTTAATTTTCAATTGGAGTATGATTATATCATTTCCCCCTTTCTCAACCCCCAAGTCCCTCTCATTGGACCATGTATTACTGTTCATTCATTTATTTATTTACTACAAACAAAAATATAAACATAACCTCCCGAGTCTGCTTGATTGTGTATTTTTTATTATGTAAGGGAAAAGTATTCATATTTTGGTGTCTTAGTGAAGAATGTGAAGTATATAACTATTCAGTGTTTAGTAAACTAGCTGAAATCTATAGATAATGACAGTTATTTTTATATTTCATACTATTTTCCTTAAAGGGAGAAAAAAGAATTAGAATAACTTTTCTAAATTCAAAACATTAAGAGAAAAATATTTCAACCAAAAAAGTTAGGTTTCTTTCCATTAATAATTATTTTCTATTAACATGAGTTTTTCTAAAAAATTTTCTAAAATTTAAAAATTTTCTAAAATTTAGAAATTTTCTAAAAATGTCCTTAACATAACAGCTTTAAAAGGATGCCAACCGCCGGGCGGTGGTGGCGCACGCCTTTAATCCCAGCACTCGGGAGGCAGAGGCAGGCGGATCTCTGTGAGTTCGAGGCCAGGCTGGACCGATAGCCTCCAAAACAATACAGAGAAACCCTGTCTCGTAAAAACCAAAAAAACAAACAAACAAAAAAAAGGATGCCAACCTTGGCTGAAATTTTCATGCCACTTATATAACTGTCAAAATACCTAAGTTCCTAGTAAACTGAACAGTAAACGTACTTTAGAAAAGTTTGTATTTAAAAGAATATTATAAATCTCTCAAAGCTGTGGGATAATGTCTTGTACACAGTAAAGATCTGTCACTAGTATTGGTTTACTAAAATGCTGATTGGCCAGTAGCCAGGCAGGAAGTATAGGTGGGGCTACCAAACTAGCAGAATTCTGGGAAGAGTAAAGGCAGAGACCACTCACCAGCCAGACATGGAAGAAGCAAGATGAGAATGACTTACTAAGAAAAGGTACCAAACCACATGGCTGAACATAAGAGTTATGGGAAAATTTAAGCTGTAACAGCTAGTTAATAATAAGTCTGAACTAGTAGATCAGCTTATAATTAATATAAGCCTCTGTGTGTTTATTTGGGACTGAATGGCTGTGGAGGGACAGAAATTTCTGTCTGCATCTCAAAAATAAAGCTGTTATACAGCAAACGATTTGCCCATGTACATTTGTTCTTCCAAAATGTGATCAACAGACGGGCAAATTAGCCAAGACCTATTCATGAGGCTGATACAGGATATCACCGTGCTTAGGTTTGAGTAATACACTGTCTCAATAAAAAAATCAAACCTTCCTCTGAATTTCTCATATCAGATATAATCTGTAGTTTTCTTGTTTTGCTAGAACAATTATATTATTCTACCTTGGCTGTAACAGAACTTAAAAGCACTGCATAATAATGTAATTTTTTAGGTAACTGCAAGGCCATTGGTAATTCCTGGAAGAGTATGTAGACTTAAAAGGAAGCACCTATTCTTCTAAGAAAGCACAGAAGGCAGGTCTTGGGAGGAATAAACTAACCACATAGAAAAGAAGAAACACCAGACTGACAAAGGAGAAAATTTGTTTGCCAAGAAAAGTGACTAAAATGAGATTAATTCTGGGTAATATGAGAAAATGCTCTTTCCTTCTCTAGAATCTTTTTTATTAGTCAAACTTCAAGTCTGTTATAAAATAAGACATAAATGCTGCTGGAAAAAGAATGATAAAACTGATTTTTTTCTCCTAGTTTTTAATTTTAAAAATTGATATAGGCTCTAAGTATTATTGCTAAAACAAGCCTCAAATTTCTGGACTCAAATGCATCCTGCCTCAGTCTAAGTGCTGGGCTGCGGAAAGAATATTTCATGGCACCTGAGATTTAGAGACTTACACTGTGGATAAGTCACCCCAGATACTCAAGAAAATTCTTTAAAATGCTTAACACAATATACAACTTGGTTTCAAAATAGAATAACTATCACTGCCTAGGGGAAACTCATCTCTCAAAATTAAAACACAGTAAGAACTATGAAAGAAGGAGAAGGGATTTAGATTAAAGTCCTGTATAACATGGCTGTTGTTTGCTGATTGACTTTAAGTAAAAAAAGAAAAAAGTACAACCTAGTAGGGACAACACCTGTACAGAAATCTGCACAATAATAAAACATTAAGAAGGTCTGAATTTGCTACTGGGGTTCAAACATAACCAAAAAGGTCAACTGCTTCGAATTCCTGTTAGTCACACAGAACCAGAGCATCATGGTACAAATTTCACAGTTTAGCTTTAATAGAAAGGGAAATTCATTTAATGATTAGTCACCATTTAACAGTAACATGGATATGAACTTTAAACATCTTTGGATCACAGAACCCTTACAGGATAGGATGTGGTGGTTTAAAAGAAAATGACATTTTTTATTTAAGCTACTCTGACAGTCTTAAGATGGTATCTCAGAGTTATTTTGATTTGCATTCCCTGATGGCTAAGGATGTTCAGCAATTTCTTAAGTGCCTTTCGGGCCCCTCGAGATTCCTTTACTGAGCATTCTCTATTTAGTTCTGTACTTTTTAATTGGATTATTTGGTGTTTTGGTGACTAGGTTCTTGAGTTCTTTGTATATTTTGGAAATCAGCCCTCTGTTAGATGTTGGGTTGGTGAAGACCTTTTCCCATTCTGCAGGCTGCCGTTTTGTTTTGTTGACTGTGTCCTTTGCCTTACAGAAAAATTTCACCAAAGAGAACTAAGAATAATTAACCCATATGGACTATTTGTTTTGTAAATGAGACTGAATATGTGACATCTCTAGAAGTAGGTCTTTAGTAAATAAAGATAGGGCTACTATAAAATCTAAAGTGTTGTATCAAAATTACATATCAATGAATGTAAATAATGACAGTCATATTATAAAAATAAGTACAAATGATACAGAAATTTGTGAATGTGCTAAGATCTTACATCTGAAGAACTAGTCCCATTTTCTATCTCCTCCAAAGGCCTAGGCATTTCTTCCAGTGCAGATCTTGTACGGTAATTGTGTTGATTTGCTTGTTGCTTTTTGGAATCCCCAAGATCCAGGAAATGCTCATGAGCATGATTCTGGAAAACATAAAACTTACTCACAATAGGCTTTAAAGACCAGGTTTTCTTGTTAATAGTTATATTATGGAAAACCATACATACTTAAAATATCACTGAAATACACTATGGTATCAACTAAAATTCTTTCTGAAATATCAGAAAGTCAGCAGCAAGTTGGGCATAATGGCTCACTACTTTAATCCCGGCATTCAAAAGGGAGAGGTCAGTGGATTTCTGAGTTCAAAGCCAGTCTCACCTACATAAAAGAGTTCCAGGGCAGTCAGGGCTATGTAGGAATCTTGTCTCAACCCCTATGCCCACCAAAACCAAGTCATCTGCAGATGGGTACATACAAATAATCAAGGAAAACTTGACAAAGTCAGTGACAGAGATATATTCAATATAAAGTGCTCCTAGAAAAAGTTAAAACAACTTCAAGAGTGAAAAGCAGATGCTATGAAAAAGAACTAGCTAAAGATGCTTAGAATAAAAAGTAATCATTTAACTGGTAATAGGGAAAGGCAGCAGGTTGATCAAACAGATTGAAATGTATGTTAGTGAGTGAGAACATGAAACAAACTCATTACTGCCCAAAGCTTCAAAGGAAAACAAACCTGAGGGATTCACAAATGCATGGAAAACACAGTTCTTGTAAGGAAGGTGGGGACATAAAGATCTGGAGCTGAAACCCTGTCTCATCAACAGCAAAATAAACAACAACAACAAAAAACAAAAAACCCATCCCAAACAATGTTTTAAGGCTTCAGAAATGGGGCCGGGTGGTGGTGGCACACGCCTTTAATCCCAGCACTCGGGAGGCAGAGGCAGGCGGATCTCTGTGAGTTTGAGGCTGGGCTGGACCGACAGCTTCCAAAACAATACAGAGAAACCCTGTCTCATAAAAACCAAAAAAAAAAAAAAAAAAAAAAAAAAGAAGGCTTCAGAACTGAGTTGAACAAAATGAAAGAAAACATAGTCCAACCTGAGAATACAAAATGTAGAGCACAGTACGAAGGATTACCCTAAAAAACAAAGAACTTAGAAGCTGGAGAGATGGCTCAAAGGACAGTCTGGCTGCTCTTACAGAGGACCAGAGTTCAGATTCCAGCACCCACACAGCAGCTAATAATCTGCTAACACTCCAGTTCCAGGGGTTCTGTTGAATTCTTCTGGATTCCACTGGCAACCATTCAAAAACAAACAAATCTTTGTTTTTTTAATGAAACTGACATTAGACACTAAGAGGAAAATCTGACAGAAAATAACTTCGAACCTAAAATTATATCCTCACTGCTAAAAGAGAAATGAATGCTCACATACAAACCCAAGATTCACTCCAAACACATCTGTTCTAAATTTTATAAAAGTCTTAGAAAGTAATGTAAAGGTATAAAGAAGGAAACAACGTTCTACTTTGTCAACCACTGACAAATCTACTATTAAAAATTTAATATATCACTCCTTTCATTTGGCATAAGAATTTCTAACTACTTAAATTCATGTGATACAAAATTGCCATGTTCTTACTGTGTAAAACATCGTCTATGATTTGACACTTCTGGTAAGATAAATTCCAATCAAAGAATCTAAGAAGCCTTTTAAATGTATATTGGTGGCTTTTCTTTCAGGCTCACCCATCACACCTGGCTATTTTGAATGCCTCAAAAGAAATGACAGTGAACAGAAAGCTGGCTGTTAAATATCACTTGTTGTTCTCTTATCCTTCAACACAAAATCTACTTAATTATTAAGGTATAATGTGATGATGCTTTGGGCAATGTGTTATTAGAGCAGTATCAAAGAGCCTTCCACAGGACAAGCATATATATTGCACTTTTCTCTTTTGACTGACCCTTAGTCCTATAACTTTAACTAAAGGTTCATATCCTCAGGTATGTAGTCATTCCTGAAGAGTAAGAAAATGAAAAATCTTCAGTCCTCACTAAAAGGCATCACTCGACCATGTATTATAAAGGGTATTTTGTTTGTTTTTATAAATTTAAATTCCATTTGCTTGTTTGTGTAAATGTGTTGTCCATGTCCAGTTAGGAGGACACCATTGTGCACTCAGTTTTCTTCCACTGTGTTGGTTCCTGGCATCCAACTGAGCTTGGCAGAAAATGCCTCGCCAGCTGAGTCAATCTTGTCAACCTCTACCAAGGACTTCATATTTTTGGTTATGAGTCTAGCCTTTAACACCTGAGCCACAAAGATTTATTTACATGAAAAATATATTTCAATTAGTTAAGTGCCTGTAAACTAGTCAGAAACCAGTAATTTTTTTCTTTGTTCAGACCACTACAGTGATAATGAGGGCTTAGTTGAGAAGTTGTTTCATATACTCTTCCTAAACTTTACAACTAATGGCTCTGAAAACTTTGCAGCTAAGCTAGAGGAGGGAAAATGCAAGCTTTGCAGGGTAGGTAGGACCACTGAAATGACAAAAGGACAAAATACTAGGGACAATCTACCTATCTTTATTTTGTAAGGGTTTATTTAGTTTTGGCCATATGTCTGTGTGTGAGCCATGTCACATGCATTCCTGGTGCCCACAGAAGCAAGACAATTGTTAGTGGCCAAACCCAGGTCCTCTCTACCAGCAGCAAGTGCTTGAAACCACTAAAAGATCTCTCCAGCCATCAACCTACCTACCTTGAGAGAGAAAAGAGCTGATGTGATTATTATTAACAGGTAAGGGATAAAACATCAATGTAGGGAAAAATAAGTTATAGAATATACAACTAATAGAAGAATTGAAAATACTTTTCCATAGGTTGATTATAGTTTATTAATATAATATATACATAAAAATTGGCATTTGGGGAAGAGATATGCTAAGAGATAGGAAATGCAGAAACAAAAAAGTTTTAAGTGAGAAATAAAAAAAATCCAAACAAGTAACCAGGAAATATAGCAATTTTCATTAGTATTATTTTGCTTACAATATTACTGCTTATAATTTTAAAAGGAAGCTCTAAAATGGCAATTATTCTTACCCCCCACCATTAAACATCAAATTAATATTTACCTTCGAGACAGTAACAATTTTATTCTCTTTTGCAACAGTCAAGTGTTTCCTTTTCTCTTCTGACCTGTAATTCTTTATTTCTTCTTCTCCCTTTGCAGTTCTCCATTCTTCTTGTCTACTAAAATATTAAAATCCACAAACATTAATCTACAATTTTACAACTGTTTTCCTTTCAAATGAATGCTAGTTATTAAGGTAACAATGTGAAGTTAGCTTCTATTTTCTTTCATGGGGGACATGTGGCTCAGGACATAACGAAAATACTAGAGATTTTGCTTCTCCCCTTATTTCCAACTGTTTCTGCTGTGGTAATTATAAATCAAATGAAGTATTAAATTTTAAGAAGCTATTATCAAAGTCACCTTCCTTATTAGGTATATGGCTTGTGCTCAGACATGTAAAATAGGATATATGCCATCTACTAACAGCAGAGCCTTGAGGTTGAACCACCAATTCCTGAAGCACACGGCAATTTTCCCAGTGACATAGAATGGACCCTACTCCTTAAAAACAAGACAAGTTCTATTCCAGACATCGAGCTGAAACTAAATTAACTCTGGGTTTTAATTTCATTAAACCCAACTCCTTAGAACTAGAATATGTTAATTGTACTTTAACTTGGAAGTTTTGCTGGTCTGCAAGGAGATTTAATCGTTGGGCTTTAATTTTTCAAAAGATTTTATAACAGGAAGCAGATTAATATTCAGGGCATGCATACATTTTGGATAATTTTATACTAGAGCATATTAATACTTTCATTTTTACTTAACCACAGAACCTCTAATGTTATCTAGTTGTGTTAATAGAAAAATGAAGGAAGCTAAATCTTCATAAAAGGCCAACCTCACATTTAAGTTTTTGAGCTTCTTATACTTTTATATTGAAAGAATCTTCAACTCCTGTATAGATATAAAAAAGAGGGCACAGGAATTCTTGTATTCTTTACTCAGTTTTCTTCACTGGTAAAATCTTGCAAAAGTATAGGATATAGTATCAATACCAAGGTAAGCCACTAATCATCTGGTTTTTCCACTTTTACTGCTACACATTCTGTGCAGTAAATACCAATTGATAATTCTCCTTACCTAGCTACACCAGCTGAGAGCTCAGGTACCACCACCCTTCGGCTCCAAGCAACAAGATCTCGCTCTGTGGCTATTTCACTTCGTGGAGCATTGCTGTGCATCTGCCGCACACCTTCAATTTGCCCACTGCGTCTCAATCCTACATTTGGTGGCGAATGAACTTCAGAGGTAGAACTTACAGAGCCTACTTTGGGGGTGGGGGAAAGGGAATCGGCATGGTTAAATTCTACTTAGTCGCCTCTGTTTATAATAAAAAGCTAACATTTTCTTCTACACAAAGCTTTTACAGCAAATAATTCAACTACCAAAGGAACAAAAACCACAGGCAAAAGGTTAATGAAAGCAGAAATGTGGGTATTCAACTGATTGGATAAATTAATGAATCATAATTATGGATTATTAAGTTCAGGTACTTTAAGTGCAAAATCATTACTTTAAAAAATTGCTAAGCCTTCTGAGAATTCAAAAAAAATCCAAGGACATTTACAGTTCACAAATTTGACTTTTCTCTTAACATTAAATATATAGCAAATAAGAGTGAGGAACTAAAACTTTGACTTCGTTTTGAAAATGATATAAGCTGATTTTTCATGCTTCTCATGTTTACTGCAAGATCACTTGCCCAGTATGAGACACACCCTAGTTTCCATCAAAACAATGAGAGAGTATGGTGCAAGTGGACAGAATCTGTTTCTAATGTTTACCTTAGGAAATCTCGAAGAATATTCATATTTTAAAAATTTATCTCTAATATAAAACCTTGTATTTATTTTTCAAAAACATGATCATTTTGGTAGCGTGTTTCGTTTTATGGATGTGTTATAGTTGTTTAGTCATTTCTCTATTGCTGGTGATTAGATGGTGTCAGTTTTTCAAAGTATAATCTCAAAGCTTACCTCTGTTTAAACGGCTGGCATTACTAACACCTGCTTCACCAGCACGCCTCAGGTCTTGTTCCTGTTGTAGTCTTTGAATCATGCTGTCTAGAGGACTGATATCCTGGCTTGCTTGCTGGCTTAAAACTTGGTTCAATCCTATGTAAGATTACAGAAAACACTAATCAGTCTCATAAAAAGACATAATTAAATACTAATTTTCCTAGGGTAAAGACTTAAAATGATTACCTGTAAGTGACAGAAAGGAACACATAAACTCCATAACCTATTTTCAATTCACAAAAATAATGAAGATGACTGCATACTGTTTATGTTTATCATGATTCAAACAGTCATAATCCTTATGGAAACCAATTAGCTCCATTATACACGTAAAAACACAAACATTCAAAGTCATACATTTAGGAAGAAGCCAAAGTAGAACTTCCTACTTATACTTGCATTTCTGACAACCATCTCATTAATTCAACAAACTCGGTTGCCTACTATGTGCTTAAGACTACGCCTAGTATTGAAGATCCAAAAACAAATTAGACATCAAGATCTTTTTCCTACAGCAAACTACCTATCCTGCTTGGAGCAATTAAAGACTAAGACTGCAGATAAATGCAGATTGTGAAAGATGTAAAAAAAAAAAAAAAAAAAAAATAAGGCGAGAAGGGAAAAAAGGAACTGAAAGACACCAGTGTAAGCCAGGAGCCAGAGCAGCCCTGTTTGAGAAGGCAGCATTTGAATGGACACTTAGGTTAAGCATGTGAATTAAGTGTAAGACTGGTACTCAGATACATGGGGGAAATTTCGTACATTTAAACCAACCTACTAATTATAGCACCTCCTATTCATGCCAGGCATACAAAAACACTTCTCTTTGTTCTTTGAAATTTCACCATAAAGATACACATGATAAAATTCTAATTTATCTTTCAAATACTAAAATGAAACTTTATTTTCACTGTGAAAAATTTCCAAAATTCCCTTGAAAGAAACACCTATTCCCCTGTTTCAGATCCTTATTAGTCTTAGCACCTAGGCAAATACGGAATACAAAAGAAAGCTAAAAGCTCAGTTAAGATAATTTAAGAATACATAAAAATGTTCAATCTTGGGGCTGGAGAGATATAGCCCAGCAGATAACAGTTTGGGCTAGCCTTGCAAAAGGATCCCAGTTTAATTCCCAGCATCCACATGAGGCAGCTTGCAACCAACTTGGTTAACTCCAGCTCCTTGGGAATTAGACACAGGCAACCACACAAACCAGCCCACTTCCCCATGTAGACAACATTAATTAAATATAAAAATCAATCTTTTTTGAAAAGTTCAATCTGGAAGACAGAATGAAAAAAAATCAAGAACATTTAATAATAATATTTATGAAACTATTCCATTAAAAGTAATGAGTGGAAAAATTAACATTAGGTATACACATGTATACGTAAGGGTTTGACATGAGCTGTAAAGAGAATGCCCAAAGAATATTCTGAAACATAGTAAGAAAAAGAAAATACCATTTATTACTTGACTTATTATTTTATGAGAAAACTCTAATTAAATAGGAAAAAATGACTAAGTCACAAAGCTAATAAGCAACAAAACACAGAGATAAAGTCAAATGTCTATACTGAATTTTCCTAATTTGTTGCTAGATCATAATTGAATATTGATTAATAATTTGGTATAGCTCCCCTAAGGTTAAAATTGAAGAAATAATTTTAGATATCAATGTTAAAAAAAACTCCATTTAAATCATTTTTATTATTACAGTAAGCTATATCTAGTTTTACTTAGTTTTGCAATATTTAGCAAATAAAATTTCAAAATCCTAAATTTGCAAATAAAGTATGTAATGATTCTATTTTTCTTTAAAAATTTTGGTTTTGCTCCATTTTGAAGTAAGTACTTTTGTGCTTTGGAATTCTAAAATAATGACAATTTGGAGAACTAGAAAAAAATTGAAAGTAAATACTAAGAAGGTGGAATTACTGCTGAAGATTCTCTTACGAACCATTGTTAATACCTGCCTCCGATCTCGATTTCAAGATCATGCCATTTTATAATTCTGTTTCTCACAGGCATATGCTCTGAAAGCTCAGGCCCTAGTTTGTGGTGCTAACCTTGCTAGAGGAAGCAGATGAGTAACAGTGGTTAAAGGTTATTCTCAGCTTGGACTATAGTCTACCTTTCTTTATTCCCTTCTGCTGCCACATCAACTGCGGCCACATGTTCCTGCTCCCCTTTACTCACCACACTAACCTTAAATAACTACTTTCTGCTTAAGTTGCTATTGTGTATTTTTAGGCAAGGGTAAAGGTATCTAGCGCTACTTCTAAAAGTGGCAACAGAATAAGGCTTCAAGTAAATGTCTCTAATTAGACAACACAAATGTAAAATTTGTTTCCTAAATTCTTAGGATACAATGATTAAATTATCTATGAAAGCTTTATTAGAGAAGCTGTAAATTGGAGGAAAAGTAACAACTACAATAATATTTCTACAATAATATTTCTACAATAATAATTCTAATGAATGAGTCTTTTTATTTCTTGAGTCTAAAACCCCTGATAAGAAAACTATTAAGAGACCTTAGAAAAATTCCAACTTTGCCAGTTAAACTCCAAGAGATTTCATGCATCCTAATTAATTAATCCCATGAGTGATACTTCTCTAGTATTGAAACTTCTAGACTATGAATATGACTAGTTGTCAATCAGTAGCTATTCTTAGATTCTATGAGTATGCTAAGAAACATTAGTTTTACATATTAGATATTCAAGCCTATACTATAAAAGTGGCAAGGGAAGCAGCTCTAATCCCTTTTTTAACCATCCATCAGGAACATCTAATTTAAGAACCAACACTTTCTATCTAATATGCCATCATTATTCCAATTTTACACCCAATCCTATAGCTTGCATCACCAAATCTTGAACTTTCTATTTATAGAACCTAAACTCATACTTTACCCAGTACACAATGTATTCAGAATCTCTGTCCATTACAACATACTGTAAAACCTGTATGTAGCAACTTCACAAACAATTTTTACCCTAAAATATTCCTAATGACAAAACTTGTTTAATCTTTAGAGGGTCTTTATTATCTTCACTGGATAAGTCAGTCAGTGCTACACTTGTCAAATAGGGAATAAAGAGTTCACACACCTTTTACACATTTTAACTATTCACTCAATTCATCAGTTCACTTGACTTCATGAAAACGGCTCTCTACATTTTTCAGCCCTACTTTCTCACAAACCTTTAAAAGTTGATCACGTCTAGACAGGTGTGCCAGCCCATGCCTTTAATTCTACCACTCAGGAGGCAGAGGCAGGATCTCAGAAATCAAGACCAACTTGAACTAACATAATAACTTCCACTTCTTAAACTACAAGATGAATAGTCAATCTAGTTTTAGATTTTCCCAGTATTTTTAACTTTACTAATATATTTGTTTATAACTGTGTATTTTAAGTCTTGGCAACTAAGATTGTGAAAGCATGAATCATGTCTAATTTCTTACTTAATATTCATGGCTTAGCAGGTCAGGACAGGTTTTCAGTAATAATTGTTGGCTAAATGAATAAATGATTTCACTTGTGATATCTTATTAATCCCTTAAGGTTGGAAACTGCTTTGAACCAAAATTATTATTTTAAATCTCCAATGTTTTAATTATCTTGCAATGTTTAATGTAATTATTGGAAGAACTCTGCATCTGTTCAAAACAAGTATGTAAAAAAGTTTTAGAAACTGTAAAAACCTTGACCCCTGTGAAAATGGATGCCTACCTGAAGACGTGACTCCCATTTGAGGGATGAGCTGCTCCTCCCTGCAATTTTCACGACCAGGAACTAATCTCTGGTATCTTGATGGATGAGGATTTCCGTCAACATCAACCAGAAAAGGGGGAGGCATGAGATGAGGTGCCTGCTGAGTCTGCTCATCTAATACAAAATTGTTGGCGTCACGGATAAGGGGCCGATAATCACTATGAAAAAACATCTGATCTGCTATCTGCAAAAAGAAAGGTCCATAAAATACTGGAAGAAAATTATCATGAAAAAATTGACAAAATTTATAATAGAAGCCTAACATTATACCACAAATTATGGTATTACATATCTATTTAAAAATACAAGATTGGGATTTAATTCCTGTATCCACACTATGTTTAATCTCCAGAATTAAAAGAAGGATTGAAGGAACCAAAAAATCATCTATTTTTAATTCATTTTAAGCATTATCTCTATATCCTTCATTGCCTAGTGTAAGAAAATCTGCTTCTTTCCTCTGTAAACAAGTGTGACAAGGCATTATATATTAAAAAGAAACCATCATTAAAAATTAGCTTTTCAATTTAAATGGTAAGTAAAATTACACCTAAGCATAAAACATTCAAAGATACTTTTAGGTTTCACAGATACTATGCTCTATTTTAAATCTTTAGGCATGTGATACTTTGGGGGGAACAACTGAACATAGAGTCCCAAACATGCCAAACACGTACTATACTCCTGAGCTACACCCCAAGATTCAAGATTTATGTAATATTAACAACAAAAAATTAATGTAACAAAAGAAAGCATTGTCCAAGATTTATGTAATATTAACAATGAAAAACTAATGTAACAAAAGAAAGCATTGTCTCTAGGTTATTTTCAATAATGTAAAATTATTATGAACTTAGCCCTGACAGAGCTACAACTTTAGATTTTCATTGGTTAATTGGAAAAGTCTTAAACTAAATTATTAATTATGCATTTATTATACTACAAACAAAAAATTTAATTATTTTAACCATTAGTCCTAAAGAGTATTTATCAACAAAACATTAGCAGGTCACATGAAATTTGAGAATCACATGAAAGCTAAGGAGTTATAACCTAGATAAATATATATTACCTATATAAACATTTTACATAATTTGAAAAGCCCCTTTATGGGTACCATGTCCTATTCAAATTAATATATCCCAGGTTAGAATTATTCTAACAAGATATATAAAAAATGGTTCCTTCTGAACTGTTTAATTACAGAAAAGATTTTAAACATGTATAGCTGTGCCTTTACACTACTTTCTAAAAAGTCTCCATACTATTTAAGATAGGATTCTTTGAGCTGATTTTAAAGATCATTTTTAATTATGTGTGTGTGTGTGTGTGTGTGTGTGTGTGTGTGTACTTGCAAATGGGTATGTACACTTGAGTGTCTGTGTCCACAGAGGCCAGAGGCATCACATCTCCTGGAACAGGAGTTATATATGATTTTGAGCTACCTGCCATAGATCCTGGGAACCAAAACTCAGGTCCTCTGAAAGATCATCAAGTGTTCTTAGCCAATGAGCATCTCTCCAGCCCAAGCTTTCTAATTTTCAAAATGTACATTCTCACCCACTCCTAAGAAAAAAACATATAACTCCTGAACACTCATGTATTTAAGACTTAAACAGGAAAACAATGCACATTTCTCATACTCTACCTTGTCATACTTGCTACTAGACCCAAAACCAAAAATTAAAAGATGTCCATGAGAGTCTGTACATGCAAAGTGCTGACCATCAGGGGAGCATTTGCAGTCAAACACTGCACCATGTCCTTGGCCTTCAATCTGAAACATATTTAACCAAAAATCAGAACATGGTCATTAAAATATAAAAACTGATACTACCATTACTAGAATTTTATAATAGAAAGATGTAAAAGTATACATACATCCTGATAAAGGGAAGATTAAGCATATCAAACAGAACAGTAAATTTGGTGAAAATTCATGAAAACTGCCAGATTAACAGCATTGAAAAAGAAAGAATCCCAGTCACAGACCAGACACAATTCAGAAAATAAAAATATACATACTTGCCCCCCCACCCAGAGAATTCTACTTCACATTTTAACCCAGATTAAAACATAAATGAACCATACATTCCATCTTTTTCCATACATTCCTGCCCTTTCTGTAAAGGCTAAGAACATGAGCAACGGTAGCAATTTCTTTTGTAACACTCAGAAGTAGTAGCCAGAGATCACTCCTTACAAGACACTAAATGTCATTCGTTTTGGTTAAAAAAAAATAAAATAAAATAAATTCCCTGGTGGTCTGACTCATCTTCTAATGATGAATTTTAAAGGTTAAAGAAAAGGGATTTTTTACCTGATAATTGTTTTCTGTTTTCCAGTTCCATTAATCCAGAACGAATGGATTTCTCCCTGCAACCTGTCAATCAAACAGAGGTGGCCAATCACCACTCTGATTTTTTTTTTTTGCTCTCAGTACTTCTTCAGACTATGTTCCAGTTGAAAACTTCTTTAGCAGTGTTCTGAAAGAGGTAAAAATTCTACCCTATCTAAAGCACATCTAGGGACTGAATTTCAGAAACATCTAAAATAGGGAGTTGACTCCCAACAAATAATAACTAAGGATGATTTTCAACAACTGTGATTGGCTTTCTGGATTAGCAGAATCGGAACACACACATTATCAGGTAAGAAATACCTCCTTTCTGTTCCGGTATCCACTGATCTAGAACAAACTGAACTTGGTTGGTTATATCCTAGGAAATGCTTAAAAAGAAAGAAGTGGTAACTTTCTTTGAGTGTAACAAATTCAACAGAAAGGCAGATTTAAACGCAGAAGGGCCACTGATTTCTCAAGAAAAATAAGTACTTCAGTCAACAGAGAAAACACCACTCTAAGTCAGCACATACGAAGGCCTCAAAAAGACAACTAATTGCGCCTTGGAAATCTCTTACAGTTAAAAAGCTATCATCTAAAGAGAGAGATAGATATGTTACTTATTAATGATATCCCAGATGCTGACAACAGAAAAGAGAGTTTCTCTACTTAAAATTATTAAGGAAAACAAGCGAGGTTTCCTAATGATACTATATAAGGAACTTACAACATAAAAGAAATGAATCAATAGTGACACAGGATAGTTTCTGAGGTATAAAGAAACTTGAAGGTAAGATAGGAGAGGAAGGTACCACTTTAGAACAGCTTAAAAAACAAGTAAGGACAGAACCACCTTCTCCATAGTAGTCTACCTAGGACATTACCACACAGTATATGACAGAACTGAAAGACTGTAAGTACAAATGTCAGGATTCACATGTTCAGTACTTTTATAGGCAAATAAATGCTACACATTAACAGGGGGAAAAAAACCCCTATAAAAGAATTTCATACCAAAACATTTAAGAAAGTGTCTAAGCCATGAGTAAGGTGTTTTGGTTCTCAGTTCACTCAAAACTTCCAAAGACTTTATAAATGCTTGTGGAACTAAGCTTTTATATGAGTAAAAGTCTAAGCCTACAGTTTGAAGCTGCAATAGTATAGAGTTAGAAAATTGCCTGTAGCTACACTTAGCAATGACAAAAAAATCATGAGCATGGCATCCTCTGAATGTCTTGGTAATCTTGCACTGCATTTAATTCGGTGGTGGGGCTGGGGTGGGAGTTACTCAAGTTTACATATATGCTATCAATGGGCTCATATGTACAGTAAGTAGATGTCTAGAAGAATATTTTGGTGAATTAGAACTTACAAAGCGCATGTAAGATCTCTGTGTCCTACATAACACAGTATCTGAAAAGCCACTGAGACCAGGCATTTTACAAGGGAGTTCCTGCAGGAAGGCCTAGAGACCCTAATGTGAGAAGTTGTGAAAGGAATACATGATTGTTTCAGAGACCTAAGGATGTTAGAGATGACAGCAGAGTTATCACCAAAGGGAGCTACAAATAGAGCACTATCCCAAGAGGGATAACTACGTTGTAGTCAACAAAGCTGAAAGAACAGAACCACCTATGTCCTTTGATATGAGACATGGAACTATAAATTAGAATTTGCCCTAATGGGTTTAGATCTTGCTGTGGTTCAGTATTTCCTCACTATGCTTTGATTCCACCTTTTGGAATGGTAATGCATATTCTGTGCCATTTTATATTGGAAATATGTAATTTGCTTTTTATTTTACAAGGGGCTATAATTAGATTGACATCCTGAGTCTCAAAAGAGATTCTGGACTTCTAAATAGTCTTGAGAGTGAAAAACACTGGGACTTCTGAAGTTGGACTAAATGAATTGAGAACAGGGAGTGGAATATGGTGATGTGAATGAAAATGATTCCCACAGGCTTCAATATGTGGTCCCAGTTGGTATAACTGGGGAGAATTTAAGATGTGTGACCTTGTTGGAGGAGGTTCATCACTGGAGGTGGAGTTGAGGTTTCAAAAGTCAATGCCACTCTGAGATAGTTTCTCTTTCTTCCTTTCCCCCTCTTCTCCCCTCCCTCCACCCCCACCCAGCACAAGCTTGTGGATCATATGTAAGCTCTTGGCTTGTGTTCCAGCACCACTCCTGCCTGCCTGCTGTGAAGCTCTCTGTCATAAACTCACCCTCTGAAACTCTTGAGCCACCATTAACCACTCTCTTCTTTACATTGTCTAGGTCATGATCTTTTATCACAGCAATGGAAAAGTAAGAGACTATCGTAGTTCCATCTTTCTTATGTGTATTATGACTGACAAAGTAAAAAAACAAAACGACAATTCTTACTGAAAAGAATTGCATCTTTTAAACCAGTCAAGGAATTTGTAAGTGAAAGTTTGAATATATATATGTATATGTATGTATGTATGTATGTATGTATGTATGTATGTATGTGTGTAACTAGGAAGCAATAATCTTTAAAAAAACAAAAATTAACCTATTTGTAAAAGAAATACATGTGCTTTATAAAGAATATATGCACTGCCTAACCAAAAGATGAGTCAATATAAAAATTAATAATGCATGATTTATGCTATTTATTCCATGTTATAATATAGCTACACAAAACAAAGCAATAGCAAAACTTTAACACCAAGTATGCAAATATAAAAACTGTAACACAAAATTCATACACATATAACAACAGTAAAAAATAGCTAATAAAATACATATTCAGCCGGGCGGTGGTGGCGCACATCTTTAATCCCAGCACTCAGGAGGCAAAGGCAGGCGGATCTCTGTGAGTTTGAGGCCAGCCTGGTCTACAGAGTGAGTTCCAGGACAGTCTCCAAACCAATACAGAGAGACCCTGTCTCAGAAAACCAAAAAAAAAAAAAAAAAAAAAAGGAGAGAGACATATTCAGCATTACTATATTCTGCTTTTGAAAAGTAGATGAGGATTATATTGTACTAGTATTCCCCTGATTAGAAAATCCCATGTGACTAAGTCCAAGAAGTATCTGTAAGAAATGAATTAAGAGAAGTAGAAGACCAAGAACTCTGCTAGTAATAGGGAAATAAATCATCTCCTAGCTCTGTTTAAGAATGTAGAGCAGTAAAACAGCCTTTGAAAATCCTATTCAGTTCTAAAATCATAATGTTCCATAAGGGTTACTGAAAGACCTTGATAAATATGAACATGAATTATATCAAAAAGACCAAAATTCAGACTAAAACTATCATGTCTAGTAAGTCAATTAGGAAGACTGAGTGACTGGAAGGAAAATCATCTACTAGAAGACCTCAAGACACATACAAAGATGAAGCACATGAAGTAGCATATGCAGAATCACCCTATTAAAGAAGTATGCCAATTCTAGGAACAGGGCCACTTGGTTTTCCTTATTAAGTTTTTTTTTTCATTCTTTAAATAAACAACTACTTGGAAGGGAGCACTGAGCTAGACCACATTCTAATAACGTCTTTAGGACAGACTTATATCCTAAAAATCAAATTGCACAGAGAAAAACCTCCTTTGCATACAAACAAACCCTTGGAATTAGGTAATACTGGGAAAAATAAAAATGAGTGACTACTACATGGGCCAATGATATGAGTCAGTGAGCAAAGGGTATTGCTATTAAGTCTGATGACCTCAGTTCAATCCCCAAGATCAACATGGTGGAAGGTTAAGAACAAACTCCACAAAGTTGCCCTACTAACTACACCTACACCTACACCCCTACACACACACACACACACACACACGTTTTAAAAATTCATCCAATATACCGAACACATTTTCCAATCATTCCTGTAGCTTAAACAATGATAATCAATTAACAGACAAAATCCATATTCTAGTTACCTAGTAACTCTTAAAAACACATTAAAAGGTTGTTAACAGAAATTGAAGTTTCTTTCATTTGTGGCATGACAAATACATATAAATTAAAAATAACTATTTAAAAGTTGTATTAAATACAAAATTGCAATACCCGCTATGGGATAAACTAGTGAATCAACTACATAAAACAGTTTATAAGAATGAATCTGAAAAATCAGCCTTAGGTTTTCATAAAAAAATTACAAAAATAAATAAGTCAGCACAAAGTATAATGGAATTCTGTAGATACTTATTCTCCTTCTCCCAACTCTCTGGAAATGAAATGGTGGCTTTGTAAGATACCTTAGGGACTTTGACATCTTCTCCTGTCCATTCTGTCAAATAGGAGTTTTAAAAAGTTTAGTTCTAAACTCTCTATACCATCCACTACCTCAAGGAAGAAACAATTCTAGATGGCACACTTTAGCTTATCTGTTCTGAACTCCTAGCACCTCTAGTCACAGTATCTCCAAAGGCTGGCTGGACATTTCCACAACAGGAACGCCACAAG